ATCAATGACATAAGTAATGTTTATTAATTCTATATAAAATGGTGTGATGCAAATTCTTTTGGTAGTGCAAAATCTTAATTTAATTTGATAACAATAATGATACTTTGAAAAGTAAAGTTTTGCATTGTCATTATTATTATTATTATTTAAAAATCCCAAAATAATTATCATGGAAAATGCCATTTTATTTTCGTGGGCTCCACATTGTGGTTAGTTTTCATTAGCATTAAATACAAATTTATTTTTATTATTATTTAAAATCTTAACCGCACAAAGTTTAACTCTATAATTAGCATTTATTTTTCATTTATTGTATATTTCATATTTTTATTTATTTTTAACTACACCCATTCACAAAACACAGTGCAATTTCAGTGTAGTTGAAGTAATAGTTGAGTCCAAAAAAAAAAAAAAAAATACTTACCCACTCTGCGTTTCCGACGGGATCTCTCGCCGTTCCGCCGCCGCCGTCAACTGCCGGAACTGTAATTCCGAAACTCAGCACGGTTATTATAATAATAATTATTATTATTACAAGCACTTTTCTTATTTTAGAGTTAAACATTTATTTATTTATTAAATTTATTATTTTTGCTTTTTTTCTCAGATGGGTTTACTTTAAGATGTGCCCTAACACAAATCACTCTGTAGGCTTGGTTTAGATCTGGACAGCAGCAGCAAAGTTCGGGATCAACCGGAGCTCCTGATGATCCGGGTCGGGTCTGATTAACTTCTTATATAGGTGAGTAGTTTTTAGTTTAAGCTCACTCTACGGCTGGTGTTGGATGTTTGGTATTGTGAACGAATTTTGATTTTTGGTGTTTAATTATGGAAGTTTAGCTTGGATCTCGGTGTTTACGTTGATAATTATGGATATATCTTGGTGATTTGGATTTATTATTTAATGGATATGTCTGTGTATCTGGTCGAGTTGAATTCGAATCAGAGTTGAATTTTTTTTTTTGACTTAGTTTGAATTTGTTGCGCAATTGTGTGGCTGAGCTTTAAGCTGCCTTTGAAAGGTATAGATGTAAATTTACCTTTCATCCCTTTAAAGAAATATCCTCTTGGCCTGGGTTTTTGAGTATTACGATTTTTACCTTGATAATTTATATGAATTCTGGGTTTTGGTATTGTTAATTGTAAATTGAGAAGAAAATGCTAAAATGATAATTATGTTGTATTAATCAGACTTTTATTACTTAATTATGGAATATAACTGAGGAATGAAGATCATTTGCTTGGGTGCCAGAATTTCAATTTTTTTTAATAAATGAAATTAGGTATTCTTGATTAGGGAAAGAAATGTAAAATGAGTGATTGTTAATTTATGCAGTTGGTGTTTGATTGCAGGGATAATATGACTGTCTTAAGAAGTGGGATTCAACAACTTCCTCCATTTGGCTGCTGATTGGCTTCCCAGCTACCTTTGGAAATTTGCTGTCAGATCTGGATTTTTTAGATGGAACCCAATGTGGATGAGGCTCTTAGAGCTAAGGTAAATGCTGAAAAGAGATTTGCTGAGAAGGACTTTTTGGGTGCAAAGAATTATGCTTTGAAAGCTCAAATGTTGTGCCCTGATTTAGAGGGCATAGCTCAAATGGTGGTAACTTTTGGAGTTCACAGTGCTGCTGAGATGAAAATTAATGGGGAGATTGATTTCTATGCAATCCTAGGATTGGACCCATCTGCAGATAAGTCTCATGTGAAAAAACAGTATAGAAAGATGGCCGTGTTACTTCACCCTGACAAGAACAAAAGTGTTGGAGCTGATGGGGCATTTAAGCTTGTTTCTGAGGCATGGACTGTACTGTCTGATAATGGTAAAAGAAGCTCTTATGATCACAGGAGAAATATGTACTCTATGCACACTACTACATCTGGCAATTTTGATAACCTCAAGTCTTCAGCCCCTCATAACAGACTTGATACATTTTGGACTGTGTGCACCACCTGTCATGTTCAGTATGAGTATCTCAGAAAGTATGTAAACAAAAGGCTTTCTTGTAAGAATTGCCGTGGCGTTTTTATTGCTGTTGAGACAGGGTTGGCCCCAGTGGATGGTTCCTATCCATACTGCTCCTGGTCCTATAGGCCTGAGAATGGGCATCGGAGCCATGGAAGTGGCGTCACATATGTTCCAGGAGCATCTGTCTATTGTGCAAATAATGTGGTCTCCGGACGTCATTCTGGACATGGCTCAGACTATGCTTCCAATTTATCCTTTCAGTGGATTCCTGGAAATTCCTCTAGTGTCTTGGATCCCAGTGGATTGTCTTCTGTCACTGTTTCCCAAAAGGAGAAAGTAAAGGGCACTAGACAAAGAGGTCATTGGAAACAACACATGAAAAAGGTGACAGCTGATTATGTTCCAGTTGATGGGAATGCTATTCATAATCCACATCAGGGGGCCAAACGTGGTAGGCCTGCTAAGAAGAGGAAAGTTGAATTTGAAGGAGCTAATAATTGTGAAGTGCCTTCTCAGACTGCTGTGGAAGTGGGAGTTGCCAATGGTAATGTGAATCCAAAGCATAATTCTAAGCTTTGTACTGCGTCTGAGACTTGTTTCAAACGTCCTCCTGCCCCTGCTTTGGATACAAGACAGTTATTAATTAACAAGGCAAGAGCAGTAATTTGTAAGAAGCTGGAAGAGATAAAGCTGGTAGAGGAGAAGAAAAAGGCCCTTGCTGAAAATGGGGAGTCCAGTAAAAGACCTAAAAGAGAAGGTCGGGCCAGTGCAGGACATCAATCAGAGCTAAGGAAAACAGGCTCCATGGCAATAACAGTCCCAGATTCTGACTTCCATGATTTTGACAAAGATAGAGCTGAGGAATGCTTTAAACCGAAGCAAATATGGGCTCTATATGATGAAGAAGATGGAATGCCACGCTTGTATTGTCTGATTCGGCAAGTTATCTCTCTAAAACCATTCAAGATTCATATAAGCTACTTAAGCTCAAAATCAGACACTGAATTTGGGTCAGTGAATTGGTTGTGTTCTGGTTTTACCAAATCCTGTGGACATTTTAGGGCATTCAACTCTGAAATTGTTGAGCAGGTTAACATTTTCTCTCATCTTCTTAGTAGGGAGAAGGCTGGTAGGGGAGGTTGTGTTAGAATCTTTCCCAAAAGTGGGGATATTTGGGCTGTATACCAGAACTGGTCACCAGATTGGAATAGATCAACCCCAGATGAAGTTCGACACCAGTATGAGATGGTGGAGGTCCTTGATGACTACTCTGAAGAACTTGGTGTCTGTGTTGTTCCTTTGGTCAAAGTGGATGGATATAAGACTGTTTATAAAAGGAACAGTAACAAGGAAGCCATTCGGTGGATTCAAAGAAGAGAGATGTTGCGATTTTCACATATGGTTCCATCTTGTTTACTCAAAGGGGATGGCACCAACACACCAGAGGGATGCTGGGATCTTGACCCTGCTGCTACTCCAGATGAACTTCTCCAGGGAGTAGATAACATAGAGCATGAAGGATCTGCACAACCAGAAAATTCTCCCAGAAACAATTCAGCAGAAGAACCCTCTGAGAATAAAATGGAACAATGTGCCACAACAGATCTTGGGCAACAAAAGAACTCTGCTATTTCAGATAAGTCCTATGAGGTGGCTACAATTGGACTACAGGTTCAAGATATCTCAAACCAAGAAGAAAACCAATTAAAACCACCCAATGAGGTTCCTCGATTTGCAACAGATGTGCATAACAGAGAAAAACCTTGCCAAACAGAACATTTCAGTTCTACTCCAGGCCCTGGTGAGCATCTCCATACTGTAACCAAGGTATAGCTCAAAGCAAAGGAGAATGGAAACAGGTGATTAAGTTCTGAGGTCTCATTTTATCATTAGTCTAACACGATTGAGATCAAGTTGTACAGATTTGAACACACAGCCAAGGATGAATCCTCGAAACATTAGATAGCTGGGAGGATCGTAAGTGATGCGATCTATAGCATATGGAGCCCCATTGTTTGAGGTGGCTCCATATCTGTATGTGCAACTTTGTAATAGTTATTCATATTTACCCTTTCTTTTACATAAATGCTACAGTAGTTATTATGTACGGATTAATGTAGAATGAACCATTACCTTTGTGCTTTTTTGCTTTATGCAATCTTGTTGGGACTGCACTTTTACAGTTTACTGGGGTTTAAGATGATATGAAGAATTCCTTGTACTATTGAATTGCAGCAGGTTTAACATTTACTGTCATACATGTTCAGAGTTGGTGATCTTGATGTTTGAAATATGATTTTGTGACTGCATCTTCAGTCTTCACCTTCTTCAAGGAGAAATGACCATTACTTTTTCTTAATTATTATGTTTTCTTTTTGATAAACAAAAATTCAGGTGAGAAGGGATTATACTAATCCGGGATTAGTTTATATAACCCTTGCCACAAAAAGATTATTGGTAATAGAAATATTTGAAAGATTAAATATGAAGCGGCGAAATTGTTCCTTTTTTAAAGATTATTTAACTCAAGAAACAATATTAAAAAAAAAAATAAAAATGAGAGAAGCAAATTGTGCCTATTCCAACCGTTTTCATTACTTTCTCAATCGTCTATTATCCTTGTTTTGCCTTTTCAATCACACCTTAAGTCTATTATCCTTGTTTTGCCTTTTCAATCACACCCTTGTCCAATAAAGATTTTTTGCAAAATTTTTGTAAGGCGACTGAGAGAGACAATACAAGAAAGAAGGCGAGATTCTTGCAGAAAAATAAAATTAGATGGTAAAAAGCACAGTAGAACTAACTTATATGTGCACTAGCAACGTCTGTTGACGCGTTAGAGTGGTTGTCAATTGGCGACCACCTTAAGTAATTTTTTTTTTCCTATCTCATTTTCTTTCCTTGTTGGATAAAAAAATCTAAAGAAAAAGTAAACCAAATTGTTGTGCAATTGATTTGGTAAAATGATTTTTCTTTAGAAAGTTGGTCCAAATTCAAGAATTCAACTGTCAGCAAGGACTTTGTTGGTGTTCTAAAATATATGAAGTCATCAGGGAGTTTACGGAGAAACGACGTCGTTTGTTGGTCGAGAGGTTTCCTGCTCCCCCAACTGGCCACTGCTACTACAAAATATGAGAAGGCGAGAAGGCAAAAAACCCAGCAAGAGAAGAGAAAAGAAAGAATTCAATGAAGAGAGTGGCAATGGATCCTTATATGTGGCATAAAATTGCTGGAATTTCTGGTACGCCCTACACTTGTAACACTAAAACACTTGCAGAAATCATATCATTTCTTGCAAAAGTCTTCAACTTTTACCCTCTTAATTCACTTTCTGTACAAACGTGTTCATGATTTTTTTGGCTCAAAAACAAAATCCTGAGACATGAATCAACGAATAACAGGTGTGGCTGCTCTTGGATTGGGCACTTACGGCGCGCACGCATTCAAGCCAAAGAATCCCGCTTACACAGAGGTAGTCTCAGTCCTGATTTCATTGTCACAGTCAGTTTTTCAATACATGTCTAACGAATCTTGATTGTGATTGAATGAATGTGAGGAAAATCCTAAATTTATAATTTTTTTTTTGGTGATTGGATACGAGGGAAGGTCTGGCGAACTGCATCACTATATCACTTGGTTCACACAGCAGCTCTTCTTGCTTCTCCTATTACCAAACGACCTCACATTGTCAGTTCATTGGACTCTTTCTTTCCATAATTTTTAAGGGAAAATCATTTTTTGTTTTTCAGTTATACCCGTGTTAAGTCCTGAGTTATATTTGTGACTTTCTTCAACCCTAAGTTATGTGCCAAGGACTATTTCTGCACGAATATGTGACTTAATAAAGTGTTTCAGACTTTGCACATAATTTAGGGGTTAAAGATGGTGGCACATATAACCCCGACTATGTTTGTACCAGTGGTATAACTGGAGAACCAAAAAAATGCAATTTTTCCTTTTTTTTTAGTCTATTTTTTACTGGGTTGATGTATATGTTTCTCTTGCCCGTGGAAATATAACTATCTTTTTTATGCTTGTGTGTTTGGTTGTAGTTTGGAGGGCTTTTAACTGCTGGAATAGTTGCATTTTCTGGAACGTAAGTAATTATTTCCTTGACTCCTTTCTCTAGGATGATTGTTGGCAATGTTGTCGTTTGAATGGGGTGTAGCACCTATTAAAAGTCGGGAATGGACAAGGTAGCTTTTAAGTTTGTAGAATAATATCAGGGGAAGTAATAAAAGCAAGTGTTGCTTTTGTAAGGAAGGTTTTATGTCGGGTTGAAGCATGACTTAGAGCCCTTTGGTGTAAGTCGTGCATAAACTCAGTGCCTTAACAGATTAGCTAAGGACTATTGTTTCACTTCTCAGAAGGAAATGAAAGGCAGTTTCCGGAAAAAAGAATTAAAAAATGTTGGTTTTCAAGCCTGCTCCATTGATGTTTTCCTTGGGGCTGTAAAATAGTCCATGGCAGCCTTTTACAAGTTTCAGTATTTTCGTTTATAATAGGCATAAAATACTTTGCTACTTGAACTTAGACTAATCTGCCATGGCGCCATGTGTATACTCTCGTTGATTAGAGGTCTACTCTTGCAGGTGTTATGCAGTTGCATATCTCGAAGACAGAAAGTATTCTAAGATAGCACCATTTGGTGGTTTTGCACTTATTGCTGCTTGGGGAAGTTTGTTGGTTTAAAGGTTGGACTTTTTGATGCAGTATTGCAGTTGCTACTTATGGTCGATCGATACTAGAAACTCTGATCTGGCCAAATGAATATCGTTACATCACATACTTGTGGAATTTCTTTTGCAGTCATTGCTACACTAAAACTATCTTGTTCTCCTCCTTAAGCTATGTAAACCAAATCGGCATTGTTGCAACCCTCATGATTCTTGAATATAAATTGATCATATGTTCCAGACTGATTTTGCTATTCTGATAGTCACTTAATGAATGTAGATAATATTTGCTGGATCTAACATAAACGAATGTCTTGCTCGGTTTGAATTTTGGGATTGATTGAATCTTATTGCAGAATTGCAATGCCTGACAAGACTCAGGAGTAGAAGAAGACAAGTAAAAGCAACATCAAGCTAGCTACTTTACTTTGTAGTTTATCAATCATGGATATGGGAATCACTGAAGACCAAAAAAAAAAAAAAAAAAAAGAGCAGACAAGAACAAAATGAAAGCTTCTAATCAGCCAGTTGGAGTCAGAAAATAGCATCTGTGGTTTGAAGAGCCTCTTCTGAACTAAGGCATATACTCATAGTGGCATGAGGTGTGACCTGCAGATAGATTATCAAATGCCATATTATAAAGCACAAAAAGTAAAAGACTGCAAAGAGAGCATCTAGCCACTAAGCAGCACATTTTAATATAGAGACAGATTGATATAAGATGCCTTGCTTAAAGATAACACTGAGAAAAAGGGTGTCACATGTTTTCTTCTCATCCTATTTTTTAAGATAAATTTTTCCACTTTTGGTCCCTCGCCTATAAGACAACTTTCACATTCAGTCTCTGTCCCATGACTTTTAAATCCTTGCTACATTTGGCCCCTCTGACCAAGTTTCTGGTCACTAGTGACTAAATTTCAGGCAAGTGACTTATCTCGAATAACAAAATTGTCTATGTGAAAAAATTAATAGTCGGGGACCAAAACAATAGAATCCCTCTCTTGACTCCTTGATGCTGCATGTTCAATTACTGATCATTGTGTGTCATATGTTCATTTTACTTGCTATAACTATTGTTTGTTTCACGCTAATAATTATCTCTCCAACATGGACTGACCTTGATGAGCAGAAGTAACAAGAATGGTAGATGATGAGTTGAGTGATCTCTAAAGATGAGTATAAATGCATGCTTACTTGGATCAAGGGCAGTAACCATGGCAGCAGCATTGAAGTAGCAGCTTCCCCCTTTGTGTTTGTACTTCTGATAGTAATTGTTGAAGGCATAAGAAGCATGATCCCTCACAGTGTCTGGGAAGAAGCAAGCCTGGCCCTTTTGAATCTTGCTGCAATCTGCTCCCCCTTTGCCACAAGCCCAGTCCAGCGCGATTTGCAGATCGCTGTCTGGTGCCTGATCATCAGCAATGCACCACTCCTCAAACATCTGCCCATCTGACAAATATTTTACACACAAACAGATTCATGAGGCTGCAGGCATTCTGGCATTGATCGAGTAGATTGGTTAAAACAACATTCCTTAATGGTCTTACTTACCTGATTTCATGGGAATGAGGGTGACAAGAAGCAGAGGAAGCAGAAACCTTAGCATAGTATTATTCATTGCCATATTTCTTTGTTCAGGCTAAGGTTTTGGAGGGATGATAAGGCTATCTCTTAGGTCTCTTGGTTCTTAAAAAGCTTCACACTTGTCTGAAAGTTTTTTTTTTTTTTTTGGTGGGATTCACATGTATGGCATTGGCATATAAATCCAAAGAGATGGCAGTAATGAAGCCTGCTTTTTGTGATGAACCCATTGTGTTTTACAAATTTAATAAGATATAAGGAATCTGCCGTAATCTTAGGGCATATGTTAATTAAAAAAATTAGGAAAAAAAGATCATTTTTTAAAAAAAATACTAGTATTTGCGCCCGTGCGATGCACGGAATGGATTTGTTATAATATATATTAAAGGGGGTGTATTCAATCATGACTTTCATAGAGTTTTAAAGACTTTTATGAACTTTAAAAGTTTAGAGATATTCAATTCAAACTTTTAGAGAGTCTTTAAAAGTTAGGCGGTATTCAATCAAGATTTTTAAAGAGTTTTTAAAAATCGTATAGTATTCGATTAAGACTTTTAAAGAGTCTTTAAAATTCATGTGGTATTCAAAAAGTTATGAACTTTTGTAGACTTTTTAATTTTAAGACTTTTGTAGACTTTTCTTTCTCAAATATAAATAGTTAAAATCCAACCATCAATCCCAAGATTTCAAAATTTTCTTTCTAACAACTTTGAACGTTCTTTTTCTATTTTTTTTTTGAAAGCTACTGGCTCTATTACATTGTAGTATCTGTTCATATACTTTCTCAACGTTTTTTTTCTATTTAAACTCTATTTTTTTCTCCCTACTTAAAGTTTATAAACCTATCTTTCTTTTTTTTTTTGAATGCGTTTATAAACCTATCTAAATACAATAAAATTATTTTTTTTCTTCATTATCCTATATTTTCCTCATATCTAAACTCTACTAATTTTTCTCTCTCCTAAACTTTACCATCTTCATCTAAAAATTCGAAATAATATTATTTTTACTTCATTATTGCTTGTTTATATTGATTTTTATTTTTTCTATGAATTTTTTATCCCTAACTTTCTCTAATTCTCCCTAAATACATGAACAAAGCAAATTTTTCATCATCAAATTTTAGTATATGTTTCATAATATTCATATAAATACTTATATATTTTGATTTTTATTCTTTTTATGTTTATATTCATGATATATATTTTTCATTTTTTTAACAACAGGTTACTACGAATAGCGAACTACTGTTCGCAACAACAATTTGGGGTTGCAAACAGTAGCACCTTGTTGTTGTTTGCAGTCTCAAATTGCTATTGCAAATAATAGTACTTTGTGTGATGCCTAGCAATATATCAAGTATAATTTATATACATATTATTAATATTAGATTTTTATTTTTTTATTTTATGCAAGTAATTATATTTTTAAATATTTTATTTGATCAATTCTTTTATTATAAATTTTATTGTTTAATATTGTTATGAATTTCTAATGAAATGATTTTTTTTGTTGATGTTTATTAATAATATATATATATATATATATATATATATATATATATAAGTAATTAGCATTTTTTTTTTTGAAGAATAAGTAATTAGCATAGAAATCTCAGTATACTATGGATAAAAATAATAATGTTGAGAATGTTGATGTTGGTGAAGAACTATATAATAGAAGACTTTTATGATATATTATAAATGTTTTGTAAGAAAATTATAAATGATAAGAATCAAAATCATTGGAAGTTTTTTAAGGATGTATTCAATTTAGAATTTTAATGACTTTTGTAGACTTTTTAAAATAAAAAGTTGATAAAAGTCTATAAATATTTTTTATATTAACTTCTATAGAGTCTTATAAAGTTTTAAAAAGTTTTGAACGACTCTATGAAAGTCAATCAAAGTTTATTAAAATCTATAATTTTAAAGTCTTTAAAACTCTACAAAAATCATGATTGAATACACCCCCCTAAGAATATTTAAATTGATATATAATTATTTAAATTAGAATATCAAATATTATATTGTACAGTGCAATTGAAAATATGATTTGGATCGTTTATATGTTTTGATGTTATCATTGCTTGAATTTGAGCAAATAATTGCTCAAATTAATAGCTAATGTGTAGATGTACGCATGCAGTGCTGTAACTTTGAAGATTTTATTTATCATTGTTTAGTATTTTTATAAATTAGGCAAACGTGCTCATTCTTTAGCAACTTAGTTATAGGAATGAATTGCTATCCTAATTCATTTGTATGGAAAATATATTTTTTGTCTAGATATATAGCAATTTTGTCATTTAAAAGAGCATAATATCACCGATTGTATTTACACATTATTAAAACCTCATTGTATACGACATTGGTAGTAGCAACACAATCTTGTCAATCCTCGTCTATAGTTAACATCTTCAGTCCATTACGATGGGTGACTCGGGTGAAAATATATAATCGTAGAATATCAGTCAATTAGTGATCCTATTATATTTTCAGTCAATTAGTAATATCATATTCATTTTCAGCCAATTGTCATTTTTTTATTTTATGTCAATTAGAATATTAGATGTAGTGATATTTTTACCTAATTTTCATTCTATTTTTAATTGATGATGTAGAATATTATTATTGAAATATTTCTATTCCATTTTTAATTTACCTTTACTATTGTTTTTAATATGCATTTACTATTGATGATGTAGAATATTATTATTGAAATATTTCCGTCCAATTTTTAATTAAAATGCAATGATCTAATCATTTTTTTCACTTTAGTCAATTATGAATCATTTTTTATTTGTAGTCAATCTTTTTATATTTTCAGTCAATTAGTAATATCATATTCATTTCCAGTCAATTATTTTTTCTTTTTCAGTCAATGAGTCAATTAGAAATCAGATGCAATGATATTTTTACATAATTTTCATTCCATTTTTAACTGATGATGTAGAATATTATTATTGAAATATTTTTGTTCTATTTTTAATTTACCTTTATTATTGTTTAAAATATGTCTTTACTATTGATGATGTACAATATTCTTATTGAAATATTTTGTTTTCATTTTAAATTTACCTTTACTTGATGATGTAGAATATTATTATTGAAATATTTTCGTTCTATTTTTAATTTATGTTCCATTGTTTAAATTTGTAAAATATTTATGATATAATTGTGATTTGATTTATTCTATAGTGTAATATTATAGTGAAAAATTAAAAAGTAATAATCTGACCATTTCCTTTTCCATTTTAGTCAATTATGGATCATTTTTTTCAGCCAATTATTAATATTTATTTTTTTTCAATTAACCTAATTTTCGTTCTATTTTTAATTTTTAATTTGAGTCAATTATTAATATTCATTTAATTTTCCCATTTACCTAATTTTTGTTCCATTTTTATTTGATAATGTAGAATATTATTGTGAAATATTCATGTTCCTTTTTAATTTCGGTTTTTTTTTTGTTAATTTACCTTTACTATTTACTATTGTTTATGTTGAAAATCTGGTAAATAGGATTTTATTTCTAATTATAGTATAGATTATAAATTAAGAGGGCTGGTCATGATTATAATTTTTATTATATTACGAATTAAAATTAGGATTTTTATTATACTTAAACAATAATATTACTAATTATATTATAAAAAATAATACCATACATAATATTACCAATTAATATATTTTAGTTAACTTCCATTTTACATTTTCTTACCAGATAAGCCTTATTAATTATTTGACCAATAAAATATTTAATTATTTGACTACAAAAATTTAGACAGGAAAAATTAAATATGAGGATTTTTCTTATATATAATTATATGGAAATTTCTATAAAATAATTTCATTAATTATACACACACACACTTCTAATTCTATATTTGATAAGCATAATTTGTGTATGTATATACTTTAGGAAAATGCTCATTATTAAAAATGGAATATAATTTAAAAAGTCAATTATTAATGCAACTTGTAATAATATAATTGTCCCACTAATTGATTCCATGCTACTATAATTCATATATTTGAAGATATTTAAAATTAAATATATATTAACTGCCTTAATAATTAAGTTAATTATTAGTCACATTTATAGTACTAATAAAAGTATTACTTTTAATTTTTATAAATAAGATATAATAAACATATTATTAAATCAAAATAATAAAAAATAATTTGTTCACAGTACAAATTTTTTTATAATTGACATAATAATTAACTATTAATTTTTATTGCCTAATACAAATTGTAAATTATTAAATATTATTTATGGTAATTATTGTATGTCATGTAATACTAAAGTTGTTAGGTAGAATTTTTATAATTAAGGTATAATATTATTAAATTGAAATTATTAAAAATATATAGATTCACATTAAGAAAAATCTTATTAATTTTGGATATTAAAACTATATATTTAAAGTCATATATTTAGATTAAAGTTGAAGTTATAAATAATTAAGTTTCAATAAGTTTATTTATTCCTAAGTTATATATGGTTAATAATGAATATTTTTCTATATTAGATTATGCTTATATATGGTTTATCCGTATTAACCATCACTATATTAGATATTAATCTTTTAATATAATATATTATTAACTCTAAACATATGGTTAATATCTATTCAATATTATTATTATGGAAGTATTACAATTATAAATTTTATTATATTTTAAATGACTTAGAATATCGAAGCAAACATGGTAAGTCAATAACATCATTTCACATTAGAAAAGTGATTTGAATCAAGGGAAGTCAGCTAAAGAATAAAATCAAAATAATACTCTATTCAAACTAAGCTACAGTACTTCATAATTTTTTTGTCCCCAAAAAAAAGTGTTAATGGCAAGAAAAACCTCTTGAAGGGAGAGACAAACTACTCTCTTATTACAGAAAATGCACACTTTAAAGACGAAGAGATTGAATCGAAACAAAGCTCAACTAATATATTGACAACTAAAAATGCTTTGAATTTCATTTTGGTTTTACTGTATTCTTATCATGCTTCCCTCTATATCTCTTTACATATACACAGAATCCGTCCCTCCCCAAACTTTATCCACTTGATGAACAACGAACTCTATTGCTTCCCGATCAATCTTTCTAGATCCATATCTTCTCCACAAAAAAAAAAAAAAAAAAAAAAAAAAAAAAGAAGAATATATCAACATTTTTTATTACAAACCACTTTTCTTATTTAAATATTGGAAAATCCAAAAAAAAAAAAAAAAAAACAAACAAACAAACAAATTCTCTATGTGGAGTGTGGACGAATTCAAATAACCAATATATGAAAACAATTCCTGCATGCACACACCCAGATTATCTATGTGTATGAATAAATTTGAAATAAGAATTAAAAAAATACACTGGAGAGAATTTACAAAAATATTGTTGTTCGAAACTTCATCCCCCAAGTTGGATACATAAAGCTTTGTCCAACGTTATGACACAATTTCGATTCGTTTTTGAAATACCTGCACACGGAAGACGTGTTGATAAACATACACTTACGCGTGGGAAACTTAGAATTTGAAAAGAAAACCGAGAGAGAATACATACGAAAGGAAATGTTAATGCCGACCAGGATGAGACACTCTCTTGTGCTGGGACCGGGAACGATGACGGCAACCACCATTCTTGAAAAAACTTTAGAGAGAGAATTTGATTCTTGAATCTCTAGTAGTACAGGGAGAGGCAAATCCTATCATTTTATAGCCACAAAAAATTGACCATATATGAAATTAATATTCTGTAAATATTTTTATAATTAAAATTAAAATTAATTAAATATATAATTGAAAAAATAATAAACAGATACTGATTCTATATATATACTCTTGTCTTAATTGTGATATTTCATAATTATGGTATTGCATAGTATTCACATAGGCAATACCATAAATATGCAATATTATATACCAAATTAAAGTTTGGACAGGAAAATGATGTAGGAGGATTTTACTTTTATATATATATATATATATATATATATATATATATATATATATATATATATATATATAGATTATTTTAGTCATTTAATTATGTTCATATTATAAACTCGGTCCTTAAAGTATCTCTATTACATTGTAGTATCTGTTCATATACTTTCTCAACCTACTGAGAGGCTCGAACTCATAATCTTCCACTTTAATTATTTACAAAGGTGATGACTTTAACCAAACCACCAACATAATCTATTGTATTTGACAAAAAAAATCTATATTACAAAAATTGTCAAGGGCAACTAAGTAATTTTACACAAAATTCTCCATTTCCTAAGAACAAATTGCCGCATAGTATGATAGATTTTGTCTGTGATCTAATTAAATAGCAATATCAATCCAATTAAGGCTAGCAAGATGAACAATTGTGAGAAAGATATTAGGCAGCCCAGGAAAGTCTAGATGCCTAAACACACCACTCTGAGGATTATATGCAATCAGGCCAACACCTTTGCACTGTATCAGCAACTCACCATTTTTCATAAGGCACAGAACTCTCACTACTGGGATGCATAAAACATCTTTCCACAGCTTATATGGTAGCTTTGGATAGCTAAATCTGGGCATTAGTGAAGACTCAATTGTGAACTGTTTCACCCAGGACTCTTTCCTCTCATATTCTTTCATGACCCAAATCTTGAAACACCTATTATTGAATGTCACACCAGAAAGACAACCTTGTAGAACCATAAGGCTGATGATCTCACCAAAATAAGGTTTTGGGATGTCCTGAAACCGCTCCTCGGCTAGATCAAAGGATGCAATGCTCCCGTCGAGATAATACCCAGCGTTTCTTCTTAACCAGTGCAGCCTTCCATTCACCAGCACTCCGGTTGACCCGAACTCCAGCCAGTAAGGGGCTTCTCCAATGCTTCTCCAATTGGTGCTGTCAAGGCTGAGCACTTGAACATCTGATTGGTTGAAGCAGTGAGTCCCGACCCTACCAGAAGGCCGGTAGTACCTCGGGTCGGTGGCATAGTAGACAATCTTGACCACCTTGTACTGCTTAGAAATCGAGTGAAATCCGAATCCAGAAACCACCCTTTGTTCCCGGTGCTGAAATGTAATGGATTTTGGCAGTTCTTTGTGGTTCCCAGTAAAAGGATTATATATGAACAGAGAAGAGTGGAACAAAGAATCAGATAGACATAACAGGCCAGCACATGATCCTACCACATTAAAGTCTGACATAGATGCTGCAAAAGGGGGATCGATTCTTCTGACTACTTGTTCATCATCATCATCATGACCGGACAACAAAACAAAGTAAAGCCAGTTTCTGATGGGATAGTTGCAGTGAAATATGAGGCATGGATTGTCGTTTGATGTTCGAGACAGGTGCAAATGAACAAGCTGATGATCATGAGACAAGTTGTGCCAGGATTTGCAGACTGACCTGAATCGCATCAGAGATGTAATGGGAAGCCTGGAAATTATGTCAAGGGAAACTTCTCGGGGTAGAGAAGCCATATCATCTCTCGGGTGATTCTCACCGGACCTGCACTTCTGCTTCTTGGATTGACTTTCTTTACTGTAGTCCATAGACAGAAAATAAGCAGACATTAACAAGGAACAAGGGATGATAATTAATGAAGGTGCTGGAAACTACAATGAAAATGTTGTCTGGGTCTTTCCAAACCTGCCAAAAATAATCAATTCATTACATTACAGGACAGAATAAAAGACAACAATTCACATTGATTGATTAATCTGCTCAATAAATAAATGTGCATTGATAGAACGACCTACTGAGAAGTGAGAACAGCCAAATGTCAATCGAAATGACCAAATCAACCAGACTCAAAGAACCGTGCCACTGCTGAATAAAGTTGCCATTCATCAAACGGCTTTGAAATGTAATCATCCATCCCGCATTGCAAGCACTTCTCGTTTGTTGCTTGAATAACATCTGCTGTCGTTGCTAATATTGGTGTGTGCCAATGACACACTTTTCCGTTCATTTCAATCAACACCTCTCCTGAATTCATATTCTCATTATATTTTCTTTCTAGACAGCGGATCTGTCGAGTAGCCTCAAACCTACAAAAGGAATAACATCAAGAACAAAAATCTATGTTCAAGAAAGAAACTATAACAAAAATCTATAGTTCAAGAGAATTGAAGCATGCTCCATCTCAACTAAAAGCCTAAGCTAATAGTTGGATTGCACATCAATGGCTACGCCCCCCCTCACGTGTGCGGTGGGTTCCAAGCAACACGTGGACCGTAGTCGCTCCAGCTCTGATACCAAATTGAAGCATGTGCTCCATCTCAACTAAAAGCATAAGCTAATAGTTGGATTGCACATCAATGGCTATATGCTCAACAAAGAGAGTGTTTATATATAGTAGAATACCCATCCATTTCTGGCATTTGGAGGTCCATGAAGCAAGCATCAAACTTGTGAGGTGGTTTAAGTAGTGCCAATGCCGCCTTCCCACTATCTACACAGCTCACAATTGCACCATACTTCCTTATGGCCCCTTCTGCTACTCTTCTATTCACAACATTATCGTCCACCACCAGAATCCTTTTGTCTTTCAGCAGACTTCCAAGAGATGATGGTTTCCTACGTGTTATATGCCGCTTATTCATAAAGCCCGTGGCTTCCTGAATGCATGAAACTAATGCACTCAAGCGAAGAGGCTTTATTAATACGCTATCTACAAGCCCAGCCGATCTAAGCTCGTTGCGATTGGTGGCACTCATGTTTGTTGCCAACAGAACAAATTTTGGAATGACTCCAGAAACTACGTTGGAGCTGTTGGCTCTCAGCTCTTTCAGAATCTTGGAGAGTGTAATAGAAGTCTCATCATCCCAATTATCTTTATCGATGAAAATCAGAGCTAAATGCTCCAATGGACTGCAGAAATAGAATAATAAAGAATCATTCATAAGATTTGTGCATGCAATTTTCCCTTCATTAAGATGTATAATCCTGAAACATATGACTATAACAAAAGAATATGTTACCTTGCTTCTAAACGAGTAGACAGATGTGAGCAAGAACAATCCATTTTGGAAATTATCTTCACGTTTAATCCCAATCTTTGAAGATGGTATCGAGTGACCTCTGCTCTAATGCTTTTATCATCTATGACCAATGCTCTTAACCCCCGAAGTTCTGAAACAGCTGGATCATACCGTTGCCTCTTGCTTTCTAGCAAACCTTCTTCCGCTCTGGCAAAGGCTGCTGTGAAAGAAAAAGTACTGCCAGTGCCAGGTTCACTGAAGAATCCAATTTCCCCGCCCATAAGCTCAACCAAACGTTTACTAATGCTTAGTCCTATTCCCGTCCCACCATATGTACGAGACGTTGAACTATCCGCTTGCATAAATGGCATGAAGATACGACCCTGTGCTTCAAGAGGAATCCCAACACCAGCATCTTCAACAGTCACTAACAACTTGATATTTTCAGTTTTTTCCTCACCGAGCTTCTTAAAGTTCTGCCAACTTCGCCATCTGTCAACTATGGGGAACCCACTCAATGTATTGAAACACGTGTTTGGCCGGTCTTGAACAAGGGTTAAGCTTTGTCTCAGGACTTCATCCTTCACATCATTTGGGCTCTTCACTTCATCTGCTAAATGCACTGAAACAAACACATGCCCCTTTTCCTTTGTGAACTGCAATACGTACAAGAGTAAATAAGCACTAGTGCCCACAAATATAAAATAGAGTAGCCCTTTAAAGGTATACTTTTGGCAATAGATCTACATAGTACCACAAGTTTCATCTTTTATTCCCATTAATAGTTTGATGAAAGTGACCAACCTTGATTGAGTTTCCAACAAGATTGGTAATTATTTGCCTGAACCTTCCTGGATCTCCAATAACGACTTCTGGGACCTGATCAGAGACATAAACGGCCAACTTCTCTCCACCAAAAAAATTATAAAAACCATGGTAAGAATGGGCATTTCAACTACCTGGAATAATGTATCAGAAGCAAGTTCGTTTAGTACCTCAATCCGTTTTTCATGAGATCTTCCGGAGCAGAGTGATAAAACTTTATCAAGTACAGCTCGTAGGTCAAAAGCTACAGCCTCCAATTCTAGCCTGCCTGATTCAATCTTAGCCTGATCCAACACCTCGTTGATTAGTGATATCAGATCTTTCCCACTAGCATGGGCAGTCTGTGCGTATTCCAGTTGTGTAGCATCGAGATTTGTATCCATGAGCATCTGAAGCATGCCTGATAGAAGCGGAGCATGTTATATCAGTTTACTATCAATGCAGTAAGAGCTGCACCCATAAAATCTTATAATACCTAAAACACCATTCATTGGGGTCCTGATTTCATGAGAAACTGTTGCAAGAAACTGCAGATAACCGTTTAGGAGGTTAAAAAGGATGATACAAATACGAAAAATCTAACATTAGGAATAAACAATATATGGGTAAAGGAGAAGGTAAAGGAAGTTGAAAGCTTCTCAATTAAATTAGAAGAGATGTCAGAGTGGAAGCGGAATATCACACTACCAATCCGAACCTGAGATTTTGCAATATCTGCAGCCTCAGCACGATGTTTGAGATCCATCATCTTCTGATAATCACGCTCAAATTTTGCAATCCGATTTATGGCTGCATGGAAAATATGACCAAGGAGCAAAGTGATTACGAGGACTCCAATGGATGCTGCTATTGCTGTCCAGGGTGGAGGACGTTTCTGCTTAAACCTGTGAGCAAGGCAGGAATTAAATTTAACGGATTCATGGATACAGCTGTTTTATACATCCAAACGCTAGACCAATCTTACCTGCAATGCATCTCGTGCCTCCTAGCTGGATCTCCAAAATCAAGATTGCTAACATGAACTAATTCTCTATCAGTCTCATCCAAATCAGCTTCTTCCATTCCATACATTCTAATCGGAGCAGATGCATTCGTTGTATCGTAAACATTTACAACAATGGTGTGCTTGCTTGCTAGCTGGTGGAGAAGCTTTTCAACTAATGAGGGGAAATCATAAGCACCACCAAAATACCTTTTATCAAAGATGACAACAGCAAAAAAAAAAAAAAAAAAAAAAAAAAAAAAAAGAGGAGAAATTTAGTCAAAGAAGGTGAAAACATAATGCAAGCTAAATTACTTCATCTAAGAAATCCAAGCAGATGATCTACCCAAGAGTAGCATTAATACGATGCTCTGGTGTAGCATCAGGAGGAAGATCAGTGTTATACACTGCAAAAGTAAGTATAACCCCGACATTATTGGACTTCAATAACTTAAAAGGTGATGTCAAGACTCCTTTTCCAGAAGCTCTTGCCCTCAATATGTTTTCACGGTCTTCCTGTAAAGCAGAAACAGCAGTAACTGTAAGCTAAGACCAGTAATAAGCCTCAAGATCTAAGTTTTTCAATAATTCATGGAAAGAGAGAGGGAAGGTGGCCTTTACACAAAGAATAGCTACAAAAGGGTATAAAACTGTGAGCAATTTTGCAAGGATCTAATATCCGATAAACACTAATCGGTCAAAAAGCTACCTCAAACCTACATCCAGTATTATTTTTTTTATCATCATTTTGCAAGGAGGGGAGAAGATAGAGCACACCTTTCCAGACATCATATCAATGGACACGATATGGGAGATTGTTTGCTGAGAAAATATAACAGGTGCATATTCATCTTGAATTGGAGCAGGATCCAAGTTCCCAGATATATACTCTTGGGCCAAACTTTGATCCTCGGATTCCATTTTCTTTATGGTCCATCCTTGCCGCTTCTCAAAATTTTCCCTTTCTGAGTGGCAAAGTTTTATAGCATAGGCAACCCCACTGGTAAGTGGCCTCTCAAAAGCTGTTCTGTCAGCATATTCTTCAAAAGTTTTCTGCAACTTGTAATGAAATACTATCAGAGTTGCCACAGAAACTCCCTCCCTCCCTCGTTTTAAGGTTTTGGGGGGAAGCGAGGGGGCGGAGGGGATTAGATGGGGTGGGAGGATCAGATTGCATTTGAACTTTTGACAGAAACAGACTATACAATTGAAGCATGTGCTCCATCTCAATTAAAAGCCTAAGCTGATAGTTGGATTGCATATTAATGGCACCCCCTCACGTGAGGGCTGACTCTGATACCAAATTAAAGCATGTGCTCCATCTCAACTAAAAGCCTAAGCTGATAGTTGGATTGCACATTAATGGTTATATGCTCAACATATACCAATTGATTGAAATAAACCCAGAAATGAAAAAACCCAACATAACCTGATCTATAGCTGAAGGTTGCTTTCCATGGTGAAACGTTGAGACTAGAAAAGCCAATGCATGAACGTGGTTCAAGCTGACATTAAATTGATCCTGTAGCATTCGGGCTCTTTCATCACACATGCTTGCTATTGTTTCTTTTCTCCTCACTGTGAATTCTTCATTCAGGTGTGAGAATAACCAGATGGATCCCATTACTCCAATTGAGACAAAAATAACAAGAAGTTTTTCCCACCACTTCCGAGCAATTCTTGAGGATGCCTGAGCTTGTTGCTGCTGCAAGTGTTGAAGTAGCTGAGGTTGTTGAGGCAATTCTTGCTGCTGAACTTGTTTCTGCCGGTCATTTCCCCCAGATTCTCCACATAACCACCATACTTTCCAGCTGATAGCAATCCCAAGAAGGATCCACCAGCATACTTTTGTGAAATAGAAGGCTGCATCCTTGCACTGATCTCCAAGTGCCCTCACTTGAACCGGTTCCTGATTTAAGAATTTGTTGATAATCTTTTTAATTTAAGATCTGTAAAGAGGTTAGTTTTCACAGAAATAACCAACCAAAATGACACAGATGATTCTTTCATGGAGGATGATACCAGAACGGGCCTTATCCATCCAAAAAGAACTCTACCTTTTCACAGAACTGGTGATCTGATGAAGTTGCCAACGATGCACAATGTGAAATTGGTAAAGGTATCTGTTGCACTACAATGTCAAGGTTCGTAAGAGTGTTTTCATCTGGAACAGGACACTGGCCATTTGCTTCTAATTTCTCGATTGCCAGTTCATATTGCTTCTGGTACACAACATTCTTTGCACTTAGCACCTTAACAACACAAATGACAGTGTTATTTCATGTCTGGGACTTCTGCTACACTTTAATAATGAAATATTGCAGTTGAATTAACAAGAATAACTGAATAAGTACATTATGCTGAGATTTGACGTTCCAAAAATTGATAAAAGCATAATCACAAAATCAATAGAAGCTTCATAACTCCAATACTTAATCTTGGAATTTAGCAATTATTTTATTGGTGGCCCTGCATCTCCATGTCACAATGTATCACTAACTATCTAATTTCAAATTTCCAGTACGATCGCATATTACAGCATCTCATTACATGAACTGAATGCCTAAAATTAAAAGTCATGGATCTATTAGTCCATAATTTCATTACATGAAGAGTAAATCCGGGAAGATAATACGAAGGAACATATTCCTACTCTGAATATCTACTAAAGTTTATGAAAGAGGTTTCAGAAAAGTATTATCTTACCATGTTTCCCTCAAAATTTTAAACAAAAGGTTCCTTGTCAAATAAATTAAAAGGGAAAAGCGTATTGATATGTGGAAATATATTGGGTCTAGAATATGGAATGAAACAGCTCACCTGAATGTGTTCCTTGCTCACATTAAAATGTTCAAGCAAAAGGTTAGTACTATCTTCATCCAAGTCCGGAGCTTCTACCTTCCTCCTCATAAGCCCATTATTCAAACTAATCAGCAACACAATTAATCCAATGGCAACAAATATGAGACACAAAATCAAATATTTTCTCCTCCATCTCCACCCACCACTTAGTAACTTCCTCAGCCTGAAATTGGAAGAGAGGCTTCCCTTCATGCCAAGGTTTTTGCAGTTCCAAGACATCTTCTTTAAAGCCCACCTACATATTTTCAGAAAAGGCCTTAAAAAACTGAAACCTAACTCGTTCAAAGCAGAGAAGTTCATCAAGAAATCAGTAAGTTATTCTCCAAAAGTTTGTCTCAAATTCACTCAATTCTTCAGTAGACCAATTTCAAAACTTCAATAAAAAAAAAAAGGTGAAATCTTGATTCCAATTTTGCAGGCTCTCCTGTAAATAAACCCACAAGGGATGGCTGGACCACAAAGGCGAATAAACAAATGCCAAGTACACAATCACATTGATTCTTGAGCAAACAAAGCACCGATTAGTGACTTCAACAAGAGCATGGGCCACAGCAAGCACAAAAAATCGCTGCTCCTGGTGTTGTCTATTCTCACCAACTGATCCCATCAAAGCTTTACCCATGTAAAGCACACAGGAAGTCAGGATAGTTGTGATAAACACAAGTTGATTGAACACCAGATGTGATTGGTTGGAATCATAGAACAGAACATAACAGGAAAAGAAGCCCATTTATTTCCAACACTAAGAGCGACTCTGTAGATAGCAGCAAAGCAAAAGAAAGGAGGAGCATAAAGATCAAAGCTTTTCTCAAGAATATCTAATCTCCATTAACCCACCCAAGTGGTTTCACCACAAACTAATCAGAATCGTTGAACAGAATGTGGGGATAAAAGAGGTACCTGTCTTTTCCCCCTTAACCACTAGTCCACTACCCCACCCACCCCCCACCTCCAGGATGATGAGGAGTTTATGCTGCCATTATCTCATAATTTAGTGGAAAAGCTTGAAAAAGGCCAACAGGCAACAGAACACATTGAAATTGAAGCATTAGCAGTACTACTAGCTCAGTGGAATTCAAATATTTGATGTACCATATAACCTTCAAACATTAAAAAACAAAAATGAACAAAAAACTCTTTGATTAAATCCATAAATGCAAAATATAGATTACAGTGTATTAAGTATTTATATTGAGTATGGAGTTTATTATGAAATAATTGACTCAAATTGTACAATTACTTTTCACTTCATCAAAAAAAGACAGAAAAAAAAAAAAATCAATCTGTACTGGGAAATTCCATGAAGATAAAGTCATAAAGATTCATATTCTGCAATAGTTTTGCTTTTTCTCCCACTCACCGGGGTTTAGGGTTTGTTCTGCAAATCAGTACGCCGCATGTCCATTTCCTCTGAAAATTATTATTTTATTTTTCCCGCACTAATATGAAGGAGCACTGGAACTGTTGGAGTCACCCTAATAAAACAACCAACGGAAATGTCTCCGTCACCGTCACCGACGTCGTTCCAGTAGACGGCGTCCTCAACTACGTGTATGCATGCATTGCTTTCTTGTGTATGTGTCTGTATATCACATTCATGGAACTGTAGACGTATTAAGATTTCTGAAATGGTAATTGACGAAAAATTTAGTAAAGTAATGGCAAAGTTGACTGTTGGGTGAAGGGGACGCGGCACATCGGAGATGAATGGCCGTGTTGTGGCAGCTGGCAACCCCGCCTACTTCGACTTTCCTCTTGGTAACTATAAGGAGACTAAATTAATTTACTTTCCTGTTATATTTTATATTACAAAACAAGATTTATTAATGTACATTCTCGAATAGTAGTTTTGAGGTATTAAAAAATAAGATTTATTTTAATGTACATTTTTGGATAGTAATTTTGAATTTCTTCGTTACCCAAGTTATACCTTAGACCTCCAATTGTGGGAAGAATATATAAATGTTTATACCTGTATGGACAGTTCAATTGGTCACAGAGGTGAAACTTTAGAAGAATGATCAGGGATCAGGTTTCCCCCGCGACAATATAGGAGCAAATTCCCAATGGGTGTGGGGGCCCTTAGAGATGGAGTTCTTCCTTTTAGAATAATATATAAATGTTCATTTTTAGTATATTAAAAAGTTATTTTTGTTTTCAAAAGAAAAAAAAAAAAGAGTTATTTTTTTAATGTATTTAAAATTTAGTTTTTTGTTAGTAGAATCTTTTTAAAAGGAATAAGGGTCAAATAGACTATGGAACTACACACTAAAATGCAATTAAGTCATTGAACTCAAAAAACATGCAATTAGATCCCTAAATCAACCAAAAACAAGCAATTATCCAATTTGCAGATTTTTCAGTTTTCTAACCGGTTATCCTAAATTTAAAATATTTTTTAAAAAATAATTATTTAAAATTTAAAAAAAATGTCTTCTTATTCTTCGTCTCCATGGCCGGAGACGGAGAAACTTCTTTGTTTCCATCACGGAGACGTTTTTTTTTTTTTATTTATTTAAATTTAAATTTTAAATAATTAATTTTAAATAATTATTTTTAAAAAATCTTTTAAATTTGAGATGACATGATAGAAACTTGAAAAACTTGTAAATTGGACTAATTGCATGAAATTGGTTAGTTTAGGTACCCAGTTGCATGTTTTTTAAGTTCAATAGTCTAGTTGCGTTTTGGTGTGTAGTACGATGACTTATTTGACCCTTGTCCCTTTTAAAAAGTATGAATATGTTTTACTTATATATATATATATATATATATATATATACACACACACAATATAATAATTATGTTTGACGTGTATCATTTGAGATATTTGTTTAGCTTAATTTGTGGAGTTAATGTTATGCATTTATAAAAACAGCTCATGATGTTCAATACAATAACCATTGAACAGTTCATGGTGTTCAATAGTATTAATAATGAATTCATGAAAATATTGAGACAAACTATTGGACATTTGTATTATTTAAGTCGACCGGATGAAAAATTTTAGGCCTATTTGTCAACTAAGTTTATAAATTTTAATCGTATAAATTGTATAAATCGAAATCAATCATAAATAATATTAGAAAAAAAAAATAATTTATCCAACTCATTTAATCAATTATACTATATAATATTTGTTGTTATAATATATATATAATTATATATTGATCTAAATATTCTTAAAATATTATAACAAATCTATTTTATACCACGCATGGATTGAAAATACTAGTTTTTAATTAAAAAACAAACCTTAAGTTGTATTGGGTCGTATCATTCAGCCAGGAACCACATCAAGCCATCAACAACAGTAAAGAAATCATAGCCCACACAACTTCAATTTGTACACACACAAAATATCAGTCCAAGATTGAAGAGCGCTTTTGAAAGGCCTCTTTCCAACCAAGTCACCTTACCAAGTGTGATGGACAATCTTTATACGTGAACCATGGTCCACAATGCACTGTGAATTCTAGTTATGTATGACGTCGTTTTCAAATGTCAATTTATTTAATTTTGACAGCGATTGCTTGATTGTCGAATTTATGTTGCGGTTGTTATTACTATAAAGCATGTATATGTGTTTTGTGGTGTGAATTTTTATATCTTTTGTTATGAAATTTTGTATATTAAGATTTAAGAATATGAATTTTGTATCTGGAACATATTATTAGTAGTTGTGTAACACACAACATATTGTGTGTTTTATGTTCTAAATTTATGTCTTAATTAAGTTGTGAAATTTCGCGTCTATAGAACATATATTATTTACCTAAATTAGATTTGTGAATAAGTAAATATATAACATGTGTATATGTCTTGTGTTGAGAGTTTTTGTGTCTTGTGTTATTAAATTATGTACCTTAAGAATATGAACTCTGTAGTTGGAATAGATTAGTAGTTGTGTAACAAGTTGCTTTATTTATTTTTGTTTAACTAATAAACAAAACGATAAGAGATATTTGCATCATTAGAACTACACCTGGCAATTATGGACACGACCCGTTAACACGACACGAAATCGGACACGAAAATAACGGGTTAGTGTTTAGCCTTAACATGTCCCGAGTCGTTAACGGGTTGACCTGTTAAGGACCCGTTATGTTTCGTGTCTTAACGGGTCAACCTGTTAAACCTATTAAGAACCCGTTTAACCCGTTAATATTATCGTGTTAACCCGTTTACACGAACCCGTTTAGAACCCGCTAAGAACCATTGTCATGAATGAGATTACAAAAGATATTATGAACATGAGTACATGACTAAGGATGAATTTATTACATTAGGCTAAAATCCTACACCAATTATTGATGTTCAACAATATGAAGTTTGAATTTTTATTGTGTTCAATTTTATTCTAAAACTAGCATGAACTTCTTTAATTATGATTTTTGGATGTTATTTTATCATTTTATAAATGTTATAAATTGAATATTTTTTTAGTTTGTTTGATGGATTGAATTGTAGGTTTTATTTCTTTTATATATAACTTAACTTTAAATTTTAATTTTATTTTAATATATTAATAGGTTTAGTGTTTTAAACGTGTTTCGTGTCATATCGTGTCGACAGGACCCGAAACCTATTAACAAAATGTACCTATCGTGTCAACCCGTTTAACCCGTTAACAAATCGTGTTCGTGTACGTGTTATAAATTTGAACCCGTTAACCTTATCGTGTCATGTTCGTGTTTAGCCTTATCGTGTTCGTGTCATAATCGTGTCGACCCATTAACGAACCCATATACACGAATTGCCAGGTCTAATTAGAACAATACAATTGTTTAGCTAATGATTGATGTATTTCCTTATATGTAAAATAATTTCCATAATTTCACGATTAAGATATAAAATTATTCTTATTATTTAGATCATATATTTTTTTATATTATATTAATATCGGTATCTTTCAAGATAAAATTAATCTAATTTAATTCCAATTGATTCTATCTTAATTACCTCATGAGAAAATTATATATTGTCCTTCATTTACACCAAACCATCCCCTTCTCACTTCACCCCATTCCAATCAACATGAGTTTTCCCTACACAAAAATAGCTTTTTATTTACTCACAACCTTATGCTTTGTTGTAATACAAGTGCAAACAGGGATTTTTGATGGTCCAAGAAAGGTTGTCCGAATCTATGATTTTATCCAACAAGCTAAGCAACCCTATCCAACCTCCATCTCTGTTGTATACACATTGTCAGTCTACAGATGATGATCTTAAGATTGTGCACTTAGTCGAATATCAAAATATGGAGTTTCATTTCGTGTTAACTTTAAGGAAACTACTCGATTTTTGTGTGATTTTACGTGGAGAAATCGTGTCCAAAACTTTGAAGTATTCAATGCGAAGAATCATGATTGTTTTTTTTGGTAGAGAAAGAGGAGCTATAAAAGCTCCAGAAAAGATTAGGAGAGAAGAATCATGATTGTGATGATGAAAGATATTGCAATTGGCAAGTGAAGACTGATGGTTTCTACTTTGCCAAAGGAGAATTTCCTATGAATTCTGATTTTTCATAGAAGTTTGATTGGAATCAATATGGGTAAGTGAGTACGATTCATTATATCTTTTAAAAAAATGTATTTAAAGTTTAAGAAGTTTGTGTACATTTATAGAATAAATAAATTTATATAGGGAAAATTGATTATATTAGTTGGTCTTCCAAAATTTTGGAAGTCCGATATGTTAATTTCTTATTATATGTAATTATTTAGATTATTGCATCAATAAAGTCTAATTCAGTTAAATTGATTTTAATTTGTTACTATTGTCAATTCAAATATGTATAAAATATAATTTTTGCATAAAAAATATTGTATATTATATATTCAAAATATCCGTGACAAGTTATTGTATTAAATTGACAAATGAGTGTAAAATAAAATTTATAATTCGATCAATTCTTCTAGTTACACAATCAACTTGTAATTCTACACAAATTGAATAGTAATGATAATGCTCATAAAATAAATTAAATTATCATCCTTTCTCCCTCCCATTAATAAAATAATATAAATAAAATAATTCGCCGAATGAATGGAACATAATTCTCATATTAGAATGTCACAAATTCAGTTATTGCCAACGTAACACCATCTCAATTGAGCTCGCAGCCTATAATTTTTTTAGTACACCCTCCATTCATTTTATGTGTCGGATTCGATTAATGAGACTTGACTGAAATTTTTTACAATTTAATTTTTTTATAATATTAAGGTTAGAAATAGTATGTAAAATTTATATATTTAGAAAATAGATTAAAAGTACTATTAAACAAGTAAAAAAAAATAAAATTAAAAGAAAATGCTAATAGAAATAAATAAAGAAGAAAAAATTAGTTTAAATAATGAATAATAAGACATATAAAATAAGAAAGAATGAAGTATAATTTATGAATCATTATATAAGATGGAGTAACACTCGATTAGTAACTGTCAATTTTATTTCGTAAAAGATATAAATGTTAAGAGAAAATTAGTTCATTTTATTAGGATATAATATAAATAAATGAAATTATTTATGGAGAATAAAGAATAATGTTAGTCAAACTCAATAAATATGGGAATTAATTTATAAGAAGCAAACTCACTAAATGGGTCCCCACGTGCGATCAGAAAGAATGAATTCTTGGATCATGTGCAAATAAAAATTGCATGGGTCAAATCAAAGGAAACATGAAGCGGCTGAAACATCTTTGGCGTCGGTGGACAGGCTAACAGCGAAACAACATAGGAAGCAAACCAATGTCTCCTTATATGGTAATCTCGTGCTTTGCGACACTCTCATTTCTCAATTGCCTCCTAACACTATGAGGTTGCCCGCCCAAATTTTAGTAGGGTAAATTCTAACTTTTTTTTCAAGTTAATTCCATCAACGGTCCTCTGACTATTGCGATTTTCCAAAATTAATCCTCGACTTTTAATTTGGACGAAAAAGACACTTGACTTTCGAATTTGTTTCAGCAATAGTCCTTCCGTTATCCATCCGTCTCTTAACCGTTAGTTTAGGGGCCTAAATAGTCTTTTCATCTGCTTGCTCTCTTCTCCCTCATTTTCGTCCGTATATGTGACGCAGAGAAGCAATAGGAAGAACTCCATTGTTTCTCTGATCTGGCATGATAGCAGATTGAACAATCAAAAGCCTTTGCTCTCTTGGCAACTGCTAAACTAATTCTTCGAAGCCCTATAATTCCAACAGTTTTGCCACTAAACTACAAAGTATGGTGGCAACAAATAAGGTTAGAATGAATATGAAACTATCCATCCTTAAATGAATACAAGCTCGATACTTTTAAACAAACTTCTAACATTCTTTCGTAAAATTCTAGTCCTGAATGTAGATTATTTCAGAGTATTTCACCAAGCACTTAGAAGGCATATAGGGGGGAAATAAAGCAGAGATGACCAAAATTAAACTATTTTAACCAGCACAGTTTTGTTCTCTGTAGCTAAAAATTCGATTTTTGTACCTTGTCTATAGAAAATGACATAAAAAAGAAGCGATTGAACCTTGGTAGTCAACTTGAAGTCACCCGTCTTCCACAACCATGTCCTCACAAATCGATCACACTCGCAAATCCTTCGGAGCACAACTAGTATCAACCCGATTGCCAAGTCGGCGACGTCCTCCGTCAACACGTCGGGGGTATTGGTAACCTGAATTCCCTTCTCCCCGCACTTGGCCAAGTCGATCTTATCCAAGCTAACGCTGAAACTGGAGACTATCTCCAGCTTGGGGAGCGCGTCAATCAGCTTCGCATCAGCCCCGACAGAGGCGTTTTGGGCGACAGCGTGGATCGCGTTGGCGTTCTCCCTAAGGAATTCCTTCTTCTGCGAGAAATTCCATAAGCGGAAGAGCTTGAACTGCTTGTCGAGTTCCTGTTCCAAGTACAGGTTCATCAGAATCGCCATCAGCACTCCAATACTCTCGATTTCTTCTTCCCAGATCCGGAGAGGACTTCAATTGTGTTTAGTTCTTCCTATTGCTTTTCTGCGTCAAATCGAAAATGAGGGAGAAGAGAGCAAGCAGATGAAAAGACTATTTTGGCCCCTAAACTAACGGTGAAGGGACAGATGGATAACGGAAGGACTATTGCTGAAACAACTTCGAAAGTTAAGTGTCTTTTTCGTCCAAATTAAAAGTCAGGGACCAATTTTGGAAAATTGCAATAGTCAGAGGACCATTACTGGAATTAACTCCTTTTTTTTTCATAACTTTGTTACAATAGTATCTGTTCATAATTACTTTTTCAACCTACTGAAGCACAAAGAGTCAATACTGCCACCCACTAATAATCCCAATGTAGTTATAATACCTTGCAATTGACCTAATAGCCCAAATAATAAGTTCATTTGTGCTCTACTGAAGAAAAAGGTTGGTGGTGACCAGTTGGTACCACTCGACACTCGCAACTGACGGCGCTTCATGCACCAAATACAATGCACGATGTTTTTTTTTTTTCTTTAAAAGAAAAAAAACTTCTCAAAAATCATACAAATTTATTTTAACTAAAAATTTCTTTAATTCTTTCTTCTATCACCTCTCCATTCCAAATCAGCACATTTACCTCAAATATTAAGGGGGGAAATTCATGAATGGAAAGCTCTCATTGAAATTTGGTTGAATTTGTAATTAAACAAGAGATCATTATATTAGTGGGGGAAGGTAGTACAATGAAAGGAGTTAGGGAAATTGGACCCATGCAATGGCTTTCTAGGGACACTAAAACAAAAGAGGTTTGCAAAATTGTGCATGCACGCGTGCGCAGACAGCTCGACACAACACTACTTACCAATTTAAACTCTTTTCTATCGTCCTATTCTATTGTTTTGTTTCTTCATTACTTTAATAATCCAATAAATAATAGTTTTTTTAATGTTACTGGCTCTATTACATTGTAGCATCTGTTTAAATATATTTTCTCAATCTAATGAAATGAAACACACTCCACTAAGGTTCGATCTCATGACCTACCACATATCACTACATGCTATCTGAGTACAAAATGTTTAGCCAATATAAATAATAGTTAAAATTAGTTATTTACTTATTTAAGTGACAAGAGAAACTTACGGTCATTATCTAAATATATGCAGGTGATAAATCTTGTTCTTATATAATAACTCGTAAATCATATATAAGAGGTGAATTACATTAAAAAATTCCATGTAATAAGTTAGACCCACAGATTGTTGGCAAAAATCATACATATTATTCACTTATTTGTATCATATATGCATTGTTTTTGGGACGGACCGAATATAATTTAATTAATTCAATGGTATGCGCATGCAATTCAATTGATACGTAGGCCCTTTGCAAATGGTAAGCCACTCAATTGGGATGATTTAAAATACTTATCTTTGACCCAATTTGCATGGACATATAATTTTTCTTTCAATGTTTTTGCCCTACATTATTGGAATGTGGGAGATCCTTATCTGTTGCTTTGACTTTCGACTGTTCTATCTTACACTCATACACAGGTCACTGGACCACATCTTATAATTGGTGGCACTGGAATTTTTTTTAAAGATCAGTTTAGTAATAACTCGTCACATATTTCAAAAAATGCGTGTGTTGAATAAAATTCGTTCATGTGCAATAACTTATTACAAATCACACAAAAGAGGTGAACTACATTAAAAAAAAAAAACTATGACCGTGTTTGGTAACATAGTTAGCTTATCAATTAATTTTAACTTATTTGATCACTATTAGCTGTTTGACTTGGTAAATAGTCAATATAAGTGTTTGATTAATTAGCTTTTTGTAACAGTTTATTGCTTTAAAACGCTAAAATTCAAAAAGTTGTTCAAAACAATTATTTTAATTAGCTTTTTGAGAATGTTATTTTTAATGTAGTATTATAATTAGATATGGTCTAATGACACCAAGTTGCTCCCTCATAGGGGAGATTGTGGATTGTGAATTTGAGTCTCAGTGGATGCGATATTGACTCGCTCCAGATACTACATTATAATGGAGTCAGTGTATTCAAAAAAATATTGTGAGGGGGGACAAGGTAAAGACAAATGGGGAACAAAATTATCGGTTTATCTAATTCGTTGTATCTTCATTCCAAAACACACGTTCTCAAAGAGACAAGCTAAGGAATCACAATCAGTGAGTGATTATTGGTGAAATTATGTATTATTAATCATGACCATTATTTTTAATCACCAATAGTCACCATGATTAGCACCTTGGACAATCATCTAGAAGGCATATATGTATGAACTAACCATTAAATTTGAAGTGTATAATTAAATTATGTCGGCCTCTTAACCTCTTTTTTTTTTTTTTTCCTCACCAAAAAAAAAAATGAATAAAATTATAAAATATGATTACATGTATGTTTTTTGGATTTTCAATTTCATATATTAATTAATCAGGTAATATTAACTCTTTAAATTTCAATCAATTCGATTAAATAACTCAAATAGAATTCAATTTTATTAATTTATTCCAATTTTTATTTTTTATTCAATAAATAATCTCGTTAAAATTAAAAAGAAATTATTAGTTCAATTCTAATTAATGTATTATAAAATTAATCAAATAATAACATGTAACACTATATGAGCTTTTCACTCTTTTTTTTTTTTTGAATGGCAAAGGAAACTCACAACCACTATTCAAGAATGTGCACGGGGTAACTCTCATTTCTTTGTAATATTTTGTTGATCACACTAGGAAAACTATGTGTGATGAATTCAACCGAGAGGGTCTTCTGCACCAAGAAAATCATGTGCAGTGAGCTCAACCAATAATATGTTAGCAATAATCAAAGTTATGATCTTTTGATACGATAATCATGTTTCACCATACCCACTCAATCATCTCTTTAAAAACTTCTTCACTTTTTATATAATGTTAACATAATATGCTCTTATTTAGAGTTAATTTCATGAATGGTCTCTTGACTATTGACGCTTATCAATTTTTCATCGACGTTCAATTTGATCATAAATGGTTCATTGACTATTGATATTTAACAATTTCCATCATCGACTTGCAATTTATTTATAAATAATATATTAACTATTGATTTCGTTCCAGATTTGGTACTACATTTATGTATCTATTTTTTTTTTTAAAAAATTAAATTTAAGAATAATAATGTAAAAATTGACTTCTTGTTGAAATGGACAAATTGAATTCATAAACATAATACATTTGGGTTATCATTAGTGAGAATGTGAAAAATAAAGTTTTTACATTATTACCGTTAAAGTTAATGTTTACTAAATTGATGGTTAAATTGAAAGTCGAGAATGAAAATTAATAATGTCAATAGTATGTACCATTTATGATTTAATTGAAAGTCGTAAATACAAATTGATAAATATCAATACTCAAGATGTGTTTTTGGAATTGAATTTATTTCAAGAAAAATATAAATCACACATTTTATTTATTTATTTAATAAAAATAAAATATGTGGCAACTTCTTTTTTAATTTATAAAAATGCGGTTATTATTTTCCCGCGTAATAATAACGAAAACAAAAGCGGAATGGGAGGAGCAAAGAAAGGCGAAAGGAATAGATTTGTTGTTGGTGACGTGTAAAAGTTTGAAAAACGAACGGTGGTCTGGCTCCTGACTCCTGAACCGTGTGGGGTCACCATCCTCCGTAAATTCTCATCTTTGCCCCTCCAATAACTTTTGATCAGATCTCACTTTGCCTATCTCAATATAACCAATCCGTCCGGCCGGTTCAGATCGCTAAGTGCTACGTACTATAGAAACGGAAAAAGGAAAATGTGTCCCCGTAGACTTAGCTCAATGGTTCAGTTGGTAGTATTTGAAAGAAAAGAAAAAAGAAAATGTGATATTTTATTTCATCAAATTTTAATTTGTGTGTGGTTATTTAAATAGTTTATTTCAAATTTTAATTTATTAAAAATTACCACAGAATGATGATATAGTGATTTTCATATGGACTTTTATCATGATTCATAATATTAAATAACAATTACCAAAGAATCATTAAAAATAAAAACACGATATTCAAACTTTAAAATAATTTTAAAACTAAACATTCTAATTATATTGTTTATATTTTTATTAACATCTTAACACAATTCAATTAATTTACCAACTTTTGGATTATAGCTGCACATTAGTGCCATACTACAAAGCTCAATTACAATCAGAAATTTGAAATAGTGATTGAAATTTCTATTTCAAAATCTCATGCTGTTAACATTCAAGCAAACGACCAAAAAAGGGAAGAAGAAAAAAAAAAAAAAAAAAAAAAAAAAGGAAGAGAAAACCCTTAAATAAATCTCATTGCTTCATCAGATTCATCACCCTAAGAGTTGTTCATCGAAGATTGGAGAAGACAAAAACATATTAAAAAGAATAATTGTGAAGCGTTGACAGCAAAAATGTAAAGAATTGAAGAACTAGCTAGCCTATTGGGTTTTAATTTCATTTTTCAGATATTCAATTGTTGACTTGTGATTTAAATATAAAAATAAAAAAAAATTAATTTAATTTTTGGTTCTAGATTTATAGGTGTCACCTCCATCATTTTTAGTCTTTTTTTTTTTTTTTTCAAAGCTTAGTCTTAGTATTATTGTGACCTGACAAATTTGTTGTCCCCCGTCAACTTAAATATAAGTGAATTTCAGTCTATTCAGTTCATTCTTTTTCCTTTTTTGTCATAGTCCTAAATTTATATGTGTCAATTCTTTTCTCTTTTTTTTTAATTTTTTGTTTTTTTTTTAATTTTTACCAAAGATTGATGTTTTGAAAAAAAAAAAGGAACAAAAGTGAACTAATACCTATAAATCTATAACAAAAAATGGAATTAACTCAAATAAAAAACTTTGAGCAAACAACAAACACATTTATAAACTGTCAATTAATTAGGAAAAGACTCCAAATTTTTCTGAATATTTTGATTATTTAAAAAATAATAATAATAAACACATGAAACCATTTCAAAACAAAATTCGAAAATGATTTTTATTTTATTTTTTGAAACAGTGAAAATGTGGAATACTACCCTCTCAATGTGTTCGTGCATCATTCTTCTCAAAAGGTTGAAGCATCTGGGAGGACTAGACTTTGCTTACTGCGCACAAAGAATGGAATCCCCCTCAATTTGAGAGATTGCTCTCAATAGATCACTGGTGGGACTCAATCCCTTATCATTCTTTCCAAACTTTGCCACTGTGACCAACTGAGCTGTCAGAACATAGTAAGAGATCATGAGGTACTTACTATTACCCAAAAAAATAATTATGACATTTCTGTAAACAATTATAATTTTATCTATAAAATAATTACCATTTTTTTATATAAATAGTTGTAAATACAATGTCTTTTCGACCATGTAAAATTTTGCCCAAACAGAATATTAATTTAAAGGGAAAATGACACTTTTTCCTCCAGAGTTATATACTTATAGCATTTTTTTCTCCTTAAATTATTGAAGTGACTGTTTTTCTCCCTGAAATGTTAAATGGACATATTTACCCTTAAACTAAATATTTACTTTATTTTTTCCAACAAATTATGACCATAATTTGGTTCAAACTAAACAAACACTATAGCAACCAAACCGAAATATTCCAATTACAATTTAGAATCGAAATTTTATATTTAGAATTTATTAAAATCGTGAACCGGAACGGACGGTTCATGTTCCGAACTGAAAAAATAAAATACATTTATTGTTGAATTTAGACTATTTTAAAATAAAAAATAAAATTTTAAAATAAAGACGGTTCAAAATCGCGAATCAGATCCGGAACCGCCGGTTCACGGTTCAAGATTCAATTTTTTTTATACATAATTTTAATAAATTGACATTTAAATATTGGGTTCTAGATCTGAATTATAACCATAAACTATTAATTCGATTGCTTTAGTATCCGGTTCAATTCGAACCGAACCGTGATCATCCCTACGTATACGCAATAATTTGATGGAGTAATAAAATAAATAAAATGTTTACTTTAAGGGTATAAATGTCAATTTAATATATTAGGGAGAAAATGCACCACTTTTAGAATAATTAAGGGGGCTAATGTGCTTACTTAAATAATTGAGGAGGAAAAAGTGTTATAAGTATATAACTCATGGGTAAAAAGTGCCATTTTTCCTAATTTAAATATAATTTGGTGTTGAAATTAATGGCAAGAAAGTCCTACACATCTTTTAGCATTAACAGACGGAAGAGAGAGTAATTAAAGGGCAATAAGTGAAGTGTACAAACAGGATAGGCAGTGCTTATCAGTATTATTACAAACTTAATTACTGTACTGTTGCCATTAATTAAACAAAGGGCAAAAGTGCATGGGACCACGCATCCAAAGAAGAAGTATACTACGTGGCGTACAAATGTATAATACAGCTGTCCTACGTACAATCCAAAGTTAATAAAGTGTACAATTACAGTTAAACAAATAGGCATTTAGGTGAGCCCACCATAATGTATCTACATTTTTATATTAATACATACTCCGTATCTCTTTATGCGCAATGTACAAATTAACATTAATATCTAATATTAGTACTCAGAGTTAAAATTATAATTATATTAAAATTATTAATTTTATGACTTTTGAATGGTAATCGGCTAACTAACACCACTGATCCGTCAATCGGATTATGCAAAGAATAACAAAATAATAATAATAATAATAAAGTCCAAGAACAAAAGTGGAAAACTTTTTTTATGCGATAATATACAAGAGACAGCTAAATAAGGAAACAAATTTCCCTTTTTATGTGACCACTTGAATTTGTTGCCAACAAGTTTCTTAAAATAACATATTTCTTTCTTAATTCAGAAAATGAAAGTAATTTATTAAGGCCATAAATCTCCCTAAATCATGGCCATTAATCTCTTTGATTATGTAAATCCGTCCCTTTTACCACCTAACCCGAGGGTTCAGTGCCGAGCACTCTCTTTGGGGCTATTAGATCGACTGCTCTAGAGCAGATCGTTTGAGTCTAACATATCGAATCGAATCGGGTCTAAAACTAAAGTCTGTAGTATAAAACGGGTTAGTCCTAGTCTGCCAATTATAGCAAATGGATCGAGTTGGGCTGAGCCTAGACTTTGGACTAGCTCATCCATTTGATACCTCTAGGCATGCACCATATTTGACTATGGACACGATCGACTGTATAACAACTGAGTGTCAAATGAGTTGGCCACACATGGTGTACACAATGCTGTCGAATTACTATTTGACCTGGATCGAACTAGCCTAGTTAATATTTAAATTGGATCCACAAAATGTTGCATTTGCATGAAAAAAAAAATTGCAAAACTAAATCTAGAATATAATGCCACGATACTATATTCTTGAGAATTAAATTCAAATCTGTAGTTTTTCTTTATTAAAAGATGTTTTAATTATCTCTCTATCTCTTTTATTCTTTTTTTTTTCCCTCACTTATTGTCACGTTAATCTTAAAATAACATGTCAATATGTCATATACGTCCATTATGGAACATTCAGAATTTATTTTATTTTACTTTTTATATGCATGGTGGGGTAGAGTTAAATATTTAACAATCATATAATATATATTTCATTCTCATCCTCCTTGATTTGATTTCATGACTTTAATATTAAGGAGAATTTGTCTAAATTAAGAATGACCATTTGGCATTTTTTATTTTATATTACTAATATTTTATTAATTTCATGCCGATTTCAGAACAAACTTTAATGATTACTTTTCTGTATTCATTCTTAATTATATTGCCACGTAATAACTAATTGTTTTTGCAAAAAAAATTAATAATAATTAGTAGTATAAATTTACGATTTTGATCAAGTAAATTAGATTAGAGAATATGAAATGATAATATATTGAGTAAATGAGTACAATGTATATGTAGTTGAAAATTAGTCGGTCTTAAGTGGTCGAATAACTCCAATCAATCTTTTGTAAAAGTTTTGAAACATATAGGCTCTGTATGATAATATAGTTAGTTTATCAATCAATTTTTGTTTATTTAATTACTATTAGCTGTTTTACTTGATTAGCTTTTTGTAACAAATTATTTCTCTAAAATGGTAAAATTCAAAAAGCTGTTCAAAGTAGTTTTTTCAATCAATTTTTTTATAAAATCATTTTGCATGTAATCAGCTATCAGCTAATTTACCAAACAATTTTCTACAATCAGCTAATGATATCAACTAGTCAAACCCACTAACCAAATCAGCTAACAGCTATTTACCAAACACCCCGTAGTAATACCGAGTAAAAAAAATCATTTGAGTATATAAGAAGAGTCCTACTCTAATAAGCTTATTGTTTGGGGAATTAGGTCAATTGCACAGTATTATAAGTCTATTAAAGATTGATTCCTTTGTGTAAACAAATTACTATTTTTAACTTATACATTTATTTATTAAGCTTCATAGGTGCATGCTCATTCATTTTTAGTTTTCTTCATAGAGATGTAATTAATTGGATCCAAGTAGGTAATCTCATGCATGATGTAACTAGATTAAAGTAAGAGTAAATATTCAAAATGGTCCCTCGGCTATAGCTAAATTCACAAATTGGTACTCGACTTTCAATTTCAACCAATTAAGTCCTTAAGGGCAAATTGGTTGGTTGAAATTGGTACGGACTTAATTGGTTGAAATTGAAAGTGGATGATCAATTTGTGAATTTAGCTATAGTCGAGGGACCATTTTGGGTATTTACTAAGTAATTAGCCAAAATGGCATTTCTGTATTTCCGGCCAACTTGAAGGGCATTTTCTATAACCAATCCCTTTTTATAATTAATTCACAGAATTTCCCATCTGTCTGTAGGACCGATAGGGTCATCTGCTCTGCTCTCCACTCTCTCTTCCCTCATTACAGAGTTTTGGTTTGCAGTGTCATGAAGAGTCAAAGAAGCAGCTTGCAAAGAGATGGAGATTCTCCATTTTAAGGTTAGCAATATGAAACTGTTTAACTAAACTGTACCTTAATCTTTCCAATCACAGTTGCTGTTATCATATGCTCTGTTTCTCCTTCAATTTCCCCTTCATTCTCTCCTATCCTATACAGTATTTGCTCTGATTTTGGGTTTTCTCACTTTAATTTTGTTTATCTGATATTCTTCTTCTGAAAATTGGTTCTTCATAGATCTGCCAAAGGTTGGAGCTTTATCATTCCCACTTGTTTTTGCTTTCTGGTCCATTTATCAGACAAAGACTGCTTCTTTTTCCTTGTAGTAGTCTTCTATTCTTTGAGCCTTTGATTTGGTTGGGTACTTGGGTTGAGGTTAAGTGTTTTTGAGCTTTTCACAGATACCCATCCAAGAATACCTTTTTCTCTGCAACTTTTTTGTTGTTTTTTGGTGTTGGTTGCATTCATGCTATGATATTGATTATTGGTTATTGAGTAATTGTGTCTTGCTAATGAAAGGAATTGAGGCCTTGTGCTTTACACTGTAGAAATGTCCTTGATTCCTGGGTTACTGTTATTTGACATAGAAGAAAGTTTGAATATGAAGACAAAGAAAAGATATTGTGACATTATATATATGTTAAGGTGTTCTTGGTCAAGGGCATTATCTGTAACTGTAACTTTGTCTAATTTGTGTTAAGTGCTGACTAACCTGTTAAGGCATGGTTTCTTTTTAGCTGGCAGTACTTATGTAAACGCGTCCCGTTGCCCTCAATTCTGTCCTTTAGGATGATGGTGGGATCCATGTTGAACATATAGTCATTAATGTGCAATCCAAATATCAGCTTACGCTTTTAGTTGAGAGATGGAGCACATGCTTTAATTTGGTATCAGAGCCAGACCAAAAGTCATGGGTTCCAATCTCTACGTCACCCGATAAGGCGTGAGGAGAGCCCGAGATGGAGCACACGCTTTAATTCTCTTTAATGTGGTTGGGAATTCTGAATACATAGATTTGAATCATCACAACATTTGATTTTCATGAGTTTTTTGCGTTTTGGATTCTAGGAGAAAGTTGTGTTGTCTCGCTTGTTGTCTTTGGGATTATGAAGGTTGAATTTGCTTACGCAGTTGCGCCCATTTATTTGTTCTTCTGCTCCTTTCGATGGAAGGAAGTTAACTAGTTTATGTGTGTTCTTCTGTAGGTCATTGCCATTTACTACTAGAGATCCTTCGTCTATATAGTATACTTTCCGTTTCTCAGCAGAGAGGCTTCTCTTACTGTCGAGGAGTGAAAAGGAGGCACTCGTTTTATGAGTTATCCCTAGTGCTTCGATTCAATCTGCTGAGTTGAGTGGCATTGAAAAAGACTGGTTCTCGATGCAAGCAGCACAACGTCTCAGGAGAACGGGCATGTCTAACGTGTTATGCTATCCACCTGTGCAAAAGGCTGACCCTTATTGTCTGCCTCAGTTTCAAATTTTAGACCACGAGCTGAGCTACAACAACACGAATGTGGCTAACCCCGTTCATGCTTCTCGTAACCTTTATTGCACTCTGGAATCATCCTCGGTGAGCGAGAGCCGTGCTCTATATGGAAGCCCCATGTCCCAGCAGGGTTCTCGTTCATACCCATCAGACAACAACTATGGTTCCCCTATTAGCGGGTCTTGCATTACAGATGATATGAGTAGTTTCATCCACAAACTAAAGGAATTAGAAACTGCAATGCTTGGACCCGATTCAGATGTTCTGGAGAGTCACGATAACACATTCCCGAGCAGTATTGCGTCCCCGGAAATAGACAGCTGGAGACAAATGATGGAGGCGATACCCCGAGGGGATTTGAAACAGGTGCTTATTGCTTGTGCAAAGGCGGTATCAGATAATGACCTACTGACAGCACAGTGGTTGATGTCTGAGCTCCGGGAAATGGTATCTGTATCGGGCGAACCAATCCAACGCCTGGGAGCATACATGTTGGAAGGGCTCGTTGCTCGATTGGCTGCCTCGGGGAGTTCCATCTACAAATCCTTGCGGTGCAAGGAGCCCACGAGTTTCGAGCTGCTTTCTTATATGCATATCCTCTACGAGGTTTGCCCTTACTTCAAATTCGGTTACATGTCAGCTAACGGTGCCATTGCTGAAGCAATGAAAGATGAAAATCGAGTTCATATCATAGACTTCCAAATCGCTCAAGGCAGCCAGTGGATTACTCTAATCCAAGCTTTTGCTGCTCGGCCTGGCGGTCCACCCCACATTCGAATTACGGGTATAGATGACTCGAGTTTATCTCATGCACACGGTGGAGGATTGAGTCTTGTAGGCAAAAGGCTATCTAAACTCGCGGAGTCCTTCAAGGTGCCCTTCGAATTCCATGCTGCAGCCATACCCGGGAATGATGTTCAGCTCGAGAACCCGGGGATTCAAATTCAACCCGGGGAAGCACTGGCTGTGAACTTTGCGTATATGCTGCACCACATACCCGACGAGAGCGTGAGCACCCAAAACCATCGGGACGAGCTATTGAGGCTGGTGAAAAGCCTGAATCCCAAGGTGGTTACTCTCGTAGAGCAAGAGTCTAATACCAACACCTCTGCATTCTTCCCGCGATTCCTCGAGACCTTGGACTACTACACTGCAATGTTCGAATCGATTGACGTCACTCTCCCTCGGGACCACAAGGAGCGGATCAACGTGGAGCAGCACTGTCTGGCTAGAGACGTGGTGAACATTGTGGCGTGCGAGGGGATTGAAAGGGTGGAGCGACACGAGCTTCTTGGGAAGTGGATGTCTCGGTTCAGAATGGCCGGTTTTAGCCCGTACCCCTTGAGTTCAGTGGTGAATGCCACAATCAAGAAACTGTTGGAAAGCTATTCTGAGAAATACAGGCTTGAAGAGAGAAATGGAGCCCTTTATCTTGGTTGGATGAACAGAGATTTGGTTGCTTCCTGTGCCTGGAAGTGAAAACTGAAAACCATCAACCCTGTTTTCTGTGTCTCTTTTTCTGCCCTCTGTAATGGCTAATGTTCATAATCATTAAAACCATGGGTTTCTTGGCACTGTATTCTGCTTCAATTCATCTTAATCAAGTTAAAATTTCTTTCTCCGGTATCAATCAAGTTAACTAAGGAGTATTGTTTTGTGTCCTAGATCCCAGTAACTTATATCCAATTATCCCTCTACAAATATTTGGTAATAATAATGGTAGACTCACTTCCGGTGACTCCCATTCCAGTAATGGGGGATCTGATGAGGAGAAACAAGATAGGCACGGATTTTGAGGTGAAATGAGATTTTATTTATGTGGTTGCAGCCTTTGACTGATCGATCTTCACAAGGATTTTTTACATGGAAATGGAGAGACACTGACAACCATTTTTGTTTGTCTGGCCTGGAATTCAATTCATTGCGTCGGTGGCCGACAAGACTGCCACCGGCCTCCACCACAACATAGGTCGCCCGCCGCCCCGACTGCGGCTGATCAGACAAATGTATCAGACATTTTATGCTCAATTACCACTAATATGACCAATCATATCATTGCATCGCCACAGCCCTAAAAGGCGGCATATCATGGCCATGCATCGTTTCATATATATGTGATCAGGGCCGATTGAGAAACTTTTTCCAGTGGGGGCGTGGGGCGACCGGGCGAAACACATTAAAATAAAAAGGGAAAATGGTCAAATAAGTCCCTGAACTTTATATGAGAAGTCAATTAGGCCCCTGAACATTTAAAAGTAGCAATTAAACACATAAATTTTTGACTTTGGTACATTTAGACCCAAAAACTGAATGTTTACCTGTAATTGCAGGTAATCTTTTATAAAAAAAAAAAAAAATTAAACATCAAAATAAATAATCTATAATAATAATAATAATAATAAAAATAATTTTCCGCCGCTTGCCGTTCGCTTCCGCCGGCCGGCCGACGCTGCAAGATAAGAAGAAGGCAGCCATGGCCATGGCTGCCGTCAACCTCTTCTCACTCTCTCTTTAAAAAAAAAAATATCTTTCCCTTCTTAGATTTGGAGTCGAAGAAGTAGAAGGCACGCATGGCTGCCATCAACCTCTTTTTTTTTTTTTTCAAATATTTCCCTTCTTCGTCTCCAGATCGGGAGAAGAAGAAGTGAAATAGGAACCTTCTTCATCTCTAGATTTAGAGACGAATAAGGAACCAAGAATAAAGCAGCTATGGCCGTCGGCCATGACTGCCTTCAAACTTTAACTTTATTAAAAAAAAAAAAAATCATTCCCTTCAGCCTGAAGGGAAAGATATTAAATACAAGAGAGAGAGAGAGAGAGAGAGAGAGGAGGTTGAAGGCAGCCATGGCCATGGCTGCCTTCTTCTTCTTCTATGGCAACGCCGGCCGGTGGAAGCGAACGGTGAGCGGCTAGAAACAAAAAAAGTTTATTATTATTATTATTATTATTATTATTATATATTATAAAATATTTATTTTGATTTTTAATTTTAATAAATATTTTTTTTTAAGTTTGCATATGTGGCAAGCTCAGATGATGCCACATAAGAGGTTACCTACATTTACAGATAAACATCCAGTTTGTGGGTTTAAATGTACAAAAATCAGAAGTTAATGTGTTTAATTGCTACTTTTAAAAGTTCATGGGCCTAATTGACTTGTTGTATAAAGTTCAAGGGCTTATTTGACCATTTTCTCAAATAAAAAAAAGATAGTTTGATAAAAAAATGAAACACTTAAAAATATAGTCATAAATATTATTGGATATAGGCGAAAAATAAAACGCATCAAAATTTTATAAAAAAATATTCATAACAAAATATGAAACATAATTAATTTGATAAAATAATTCGAATAAAAAACACATTATAAATTACATATCTCATTATTAATGTAAAAGAATGTTACATGTGTGTGTAAATCTCACCATTAATTAATATTTAAAAGTCATAAAGAAACTGCCGAAGACTAAACGTATGTTTTTCCAACTTATCTAACCATCTCTTATTAACTTTTATCTATTTTATTATACTTATACTAAATCTGGTACTATATATACATACAGGGTTATATATGAGTTGGGGATGGGAGGAGGCGGATAGCTGCCCCACTGCCCCCTATTGTAGATCCGTCATGTGATGATTAGTTTCAGATCGTATGATGCCCTCTCCGCACTTTTACACATCTTTCAAAAAAAGTTAATAATATGAAATTTAACTAATTCCAACTGTCAAGGACCTTGTGGTCTGCTTCAGTGTGTTAATAAAGTAGTTATGAACAGATACTGCATTGTAATTGAGTAAGTTGTACTAAAAACAACTAATTCACTATTTAAAAAAAAAATATTCACAATATTATATCTTATTTAATATAGTTTATTAAAAATTTAATTAAAAAATTAGTCCAATTTTGATATAAATTATGGTTACTTAGCAGATTGAAAATGGACTCGCCAACAATTTTTAATTTCTTTTACACATCTAAAATGAGGATTAAATATAAATGGAAAAATGGTCAAATAAGGCCATAAACTTGATACCAAAAGTTAATTAGGTACATAAATTTTTAAAAAGTACAATTAAACCATTTAACATATCAATTTGAGGCGACGAAGACCAAGAACCGGTAAATGACTTGTTATTATAGGTCATTTTAGTTCAAACTTCGGTCCAGCGAAAGCCCGACGAAATTTCGACAAGCCGTTGCCGGTTATCATCTACCAGAGAAGGCGACCTTTTGGTCGATGACGATGTTATCCGGTAAGATTTTGTCGGTGAACAGCAAAAAATATAGTCAATCGTGTAATTTTACACGTAAATTTGACTTATTTGACCAAAAATAACTTGTTTGAGTAGGGGTGGGCATCGGTTCGGTTTGGGTGATACCCACATTTTATTTTGAGTGATATTTTTGACATCCGATATCCGAACTAATTTTAATTCGGTTATGTTTGGTTCGGGTGAAAATTATTTCAGGTTAGTTTGGATATACCCCAAAAAACTTACTTTTATCAATTTTGAATTTTTTTTAATGATTTTATTATTTTATTATTTATATTTTTTTTATATAGTATCAAACTAAAAATGAGACAACTACTAATACTAATAAATTAACCAATATACTTTTAAAATTTTATGTATTACTCCGTATTAATTATGAAATATATTTAAAACTAAATATATAATTATTATTATTATATTTATAATAAAATTTTAGTTTGTTCGGGTTTCGGGTCGATCGTGAATACATTTTTAATACTTGATATTTGAATCGAATTTATATTCGGATATATCAAAATTTAAAATATCCAAACCGATAACTATTCGAGTTCACCCGAAGTTTAAAATCTGGTTCGAGTTTTGGGTGTTAGTTTGGATAATTCGATTTACGCTCACCCTTATGTTTGAGGATTTAATTTACTTTTTAAAAGTTTAGGTACCTAGTTGACTTTTGGGGACTTTTGATTCAGGTCATCTCAGATTAAAATATTATTGAGGATATTATTATAAATTAATCCATATAACTTAAAATATACCCCTTAACCAAACAAGATAATATTATATTCCACAATCCAAACAAAACACATAAGATAATCTTACATTTTCAAAATTTCACATTGACTTTCTGGAGGTAATCCTATTACCTGGGGTAATCTAAGATTCCGTGAACCAAACGCCCTCTTAGTGTTATGTTTAGGGACATATTTGACGATTTTTCCAATATAAATCAGCACATATTATATTTTGCACACAAGCCCTTCGTTTATTGGGACTTAGAATTTTAGACCTAAAATCACCAATAACGCGTAGAGCCGACATTCCCAATTCAGCACCGCCGTATATATATTCCTATAAAGCGATCCTCTGCTAGTCTGCTCCATCCGATTTCAAATCTCCGATCAATTTCTCATAAATTTACGGCCGAGAACCTAGACGACGTTCTTCTCCGATCTTTTCCTTTTATCGATATGTTGTTATCGCCGGGCCACTCCCCGCGCCACCTGTCGACTCCGTCACCGTCCCCAGCCCTTACCGACCAAATCCCTAACCCTAATTCTTCCGCTATCCACAAGAAAAACGACAGCAGTTCTTCTTCGATTACAGATTCAGCCCCGAGAAATCGCATGACCAGAGTCCTCGATGAAGATACCTATGTCGCCGCCATAGAGAAGATCATCGAGCGGGATTTCTTCCCTGACATTCCTAAGCTACGGGATCGACTCGACTGGCTCGAGGCCGTCCGCACGGGCGACCCGCTTCAAATTCGCGATGCGCAGCTGAAAATTATTGAGCGCCGCCGCGGCAAGATCCTCGGTTCCGACAGTGTAGGTAAATTTCGAACCCCCGGCTCGACATTTTTCAGAAACTCTGCCACCCCCTTTGATGATGCTTACAAGACCCATACTCCAAGTGTAGCCGATAATGCTAATAATAGTAATGATAATGCTGTTAATATTGGCAATGGTGGTGAGGGTGAAGTGTTTGAGTCATTGTCATTAGATGATTTTATGAGGAGATATACCAGCGAGGATAATGAGAGTTTTTCGAAGATTATAGAGAAAGTGAATAGGAAGAGGAAGGAGAGATACGGGTATTTGTTGGAGGGAGAAGATGAGGATGATGTGAAGCTGATTGAGGGTGCAAAAAGAGAGAGGGTATCTACTGATGGATATGGAACATCAGATCAACCGGTGGCCACATTGGGAGGTTGGAAGTATACTGCCAAGAATTTGCTCATGTACCATCCCTCTGATAGAGGGGAGGCACCATTGACAGAAGAAGAGAGGGCTGAGAGGCTCAAGGGCTTGACAAAGGAGATTAATATGTCAAATACCCGTTTTCATGGTAAAATGACAGATGCTCAACTGAAAGAGGATGAGACGGTGGCTGTGCTTTATTCACCTGTTCCTGGAGCTACACCTATTCCTTTCCTTGATAGAAGTGGGGACAAGGCGAAGAAATATGATCTGGAGGACCTGAGGAAGACACCAAATCAGTTTTATGCAGAGTCTGGGAAGAAAGCTGAGAATGGATACAGTTTTGTTATGACTCCTTCCCCTGCACCAGGTGTGGATGAGTCCCCTTTTATTACATGGGGTGAAATTGAAGGGACTCCATTGAGGTTGGAACCAGAAGACACTCCAGTTGATATTGGGGGTAATGGAGAGGGGCCTCACTATAACATACCAATGCCACCTTCCAGAGATATCAAGGCCCATTCTTTATCTCGGGAAGCTTCCCGTAAACTTAGAGAGAGGTCAAAGATGTTTCAGAAACCACCACTGCCCTCACCAGTTCGAGGGGGAAGTGCTAGTCCAAGTGCACGTACTCTATCCCCAGCTGCACAGAAGTTTGTGAGGAATGCTATTGCCAAGTCTTCTCGCTCTTTAGATGAATCTCTAAGGGCTAGTTATCGTGGCTCAAGTCCTGGTTTGAGCACTCCTAAAGCTGGTAGGAGTATGTCAAGGTTAGGAAGAGACAGTAGTCTGGCTTCCAGGTCACCTTCTGTTAGAGAGGGGTCTAATCCTCCTTGGTAACTGTATGCCTTATGTACTAATCCAGCAATTTCCTTCAGACTGTATTATAGTTTGCCTTACTTGCAACTTCAATGGTTATGAAGTTTGAAACATGTTAGTTTTATTTCATAAAAGTTGTATTGATTGATATAGTATCTATTTTAGCATCTAATTAAACTCAATCCCCATGATGAGGCACTGGAGCTTATTGATTTCATTACATTTGATGTTAAATAATGATGCTTTTTGAGGTGGTGTTGCACCTCTTCATGTCTACACTTATGAAGATTAACCTTTTACCCTAACAAATTGTTCTTTGTATGAAAATCTTGAATTGAATTGATTATGGCTTTAGCTTAAAGGTTATTTTGTGTATTTAATCTGCCAACTGGATATGCAAGGAAATAGTTCTAGATTTCTAGTAACAGTGGTTGACGGTCATTGCTCTGAAGATTGTGTTAGGGGCAGTCTGCAGTTTGATTGCTTTCTGTCTCAATTTATGTGTTGACAAGGGTTTGACTCAAACTATTTATTGTTCATTTTTTTTTGTAGTATTTGGTTTAGTATTAGTGAATAAAAATTATATATTTAGAAACTACATTAAAATTTAAAATGCACCCAAAAAAATCAAACTTAAAAATTATAAGAAAATGTTCAAGAAAATTAAATGATTTTCTTTTATGTACTTATGTACTCTTTTGATGGACATTCAAAGCTCAATTCTCGTGATGGCAGCTGTTGATTTCTGATACATGGCATTTCATCTTTGACCATTTTATTTCAGTTTGTATTTTCTTAGGGGAGTTGCCTATTTATCTTTTTCCTTTACTATTTTGTAGAGTTTAAGAAGCAATGGACCTTTATCGCTTTTAGAGTTTTAGGTAAGGAAGTGGCTGGTTTTGATGTCTAGATTATATGCATGTAGATATTTGATCACAGGTGTTCTATGACTTCAAATTGTTCTTGCTTTCATCTGTGGGAAACTTGCTTAAATATTATGGAGTAGTTGATCTGCCCAAGCTGACTCTGGTAATTACTATTTACTAATTAATGCTTTGTGTATCCTTGTGGTCTTTGGAGCCTTCAGGTCACAGCCATTTACTCCGTGGTATCATGCAGGAGCTGTTGGGTCATTACTTCTTTTAATGAAAATCACATGGCTTACAGTGCTGGAGTTACTTGCCAGATATCAATTGGCTTTATTGTTTACCTTTGTGGATGATTCCAACTTTATTATTGATTGGGAGCTTGAATTTTACTCTTTGAAAAGTCTTCTTTAGTTTTTAATTGTCTACAACTAATCTATAAATACCTCCTTTTCAGTTCCTCTTCCTTCAATCTTTTGCATATTACTTTTTGGTACTCTCCAAAAGTAGATAAAGTGTAATACACTAAATAGTAAATACCTCCTTGCCTATAATTTGTGTTGCAAAATAAGATATTCTTATTGCTTGCTATAATATTGTGGATTTATTTCTCATTTGATCAATTTCAGTGGCAGGATTTGAGATTTTTAGAAAGTTTGTTCTCTGAATTGTCTGCTTTTCTCACTCAAATTCAGTTCTCTTTCTACAGCTTAGAATGCCATCGGCAAATCCAGATTTAACTGAAGAAGGGAGTGAGTCATTTGCTGAGGTTGATCCAACAGGTAGGTTTGGTCGGTATGTGGAGTTGCTTGGCCATGGTTCTGTGAAGAACGTGTACAAGGCGTTTGATTTGGAAGAAGGCAGAGATGTTGCGTGGAACCAAATTAAGTTGGGAAAATTTAGTGACAGGCCATGCATAATACAGAAAATCCACTCTGAGATTGAGTTGCTGAACACCTTAAAGCATGAGAACATCATAGTTCTCTATCATTTCTGGAAAGACGACGAAAGGAACTCCTTGAATTTTATAACTGAAGCGTGTGCCTCAGGTAATCTAAGGGATTACAGGAACAAGCATCGCCGTGTTTCAATCAAGGCCTTGAAGAAGTGGTCAAGACAGATACTGCAGGGTTTAGATTATCTCCATACTCATGATCCCTGTATCATCCACCGAGACCTCAAGTGCAGTAACATTTTCATTAACGGGAACATTGGAAAGGTGCAAATTCTCTCTCTCAATGAACTGTTACAAAAATAACACTTGTTATGCAACTTTAAAGGAGCGATCTCATTTTGCACATCTTCAAGTAGTATTGCTGAAGGTGTAAATTTGAGTCCAAGCTTTGTTAACCAATCATTGTTCAACCCTCTTGAATGACTCAGTAGGGTTCATCTTGTACATGTTAGATTTCAACCTGCACTAAGAGAAGGCTAAATGGGTTTAAGGACAGGTCAAAAAAGGGTTGCATGAGATAATCTAGCCCATAGTTTAATTTTATCCATAATGGTATATGTTGGACTTTGAGTTTTTTTTCCACTTTTGATCTCTTGACTTTTGTGTCATTTCCACCTATAACTATCAAAATTTTCCTGCCTCTCTCTTTTGACTTTGAATTTCTTACCCTTTTTAATCTTTCTACGAGTTTCCTAGCCAAATATCACCTGAAACCAGCATGTGTGCATGTCTTTGGCTGGAAAACTCATTGGAAGGATTAAAAGTGGTGAGAAATTCAAACTCGAGAGATTAATAGTGGTAAAAATGATAGTGAAGGACTCATAGGTGGAAATGCTACACAAATCGGAATACCAAAAGTGGAAAAAACTCTTTGGAGTGTTGGACTTCCTTTACTGTCTTCTAACTTCACTTTGGCCAGATTGGATTTCAAACTGCCCTTTTTTTCTTAAATCCATTGTTACATTCATTGCCCACCTGTTTTGCCTACCCCAACACAAAAGCTTGCTACTTAGTTAAGTATTTTGTTTTCTTGATGAACCAGGTAAAGATTGGGGATCTGGGCATGGCCGCAGTCGTGGGGAAGAGCCATGCGGCACACTCATTGCTAGGGACGCCAGAATTCATGGCACCTGAGCTTTACGAAGAGAACTACAACGAATTAGTGGATATATATTCGTTTGGGATGTGCCTGCTGGAAATGGTCACTCTGGAAGTACCATACAGCGAGTGTGACAGCATCGCAAAAATATACAAGAAGGTAACGAGTGGGGTGAAGCCCCGAGCTCTTACTAAGGTGACAGATCCACAACTGAAGGGCTTCATCGAGAAGTGCATTGGACAGCCAAGAAAGAGGCCTTCAGCATCAGACCTGCTGAAAGACCCATTCTTTCATGATATCCTAAACTATGATGAGAATGATCTTTGTGTGTGATGCCTCTTCTCTTAGACTCTTGAAATCCTATCTATCTCTGCACCTCATTGCTACCAAGTTTTATAGGAGTTTGTATTCACAGTTAGGAGGGGTGCATTTATGTTAAAAGATAAAATTCCCATTATAAGTTTGTAATCGCATTCTTTGTAAGTGTTTGGTAAACGATGGACAAATTTATGTACCTTAATTGATGATGTAAGCTTTTCTTTTTTCGATAATAGAGCTCATCTCTTATGATTTTGCTGGCCGAATTTGACCCTTGTAAATTTAGAATTATATCCAATATTAAAAGTTTGCTTTGATTTGATATACTTTGTGTGATTTATTTAAACATTTTTCCTTTTATTTATCTATACATTGGGTAATGGTTGTTAGGTGTTAGTTGATTGGGTTAATTTTAGATAATATAATTAGTTGATAACATTTAGTTAATTGTAGAAATGTGTTTGATAAATTAACTGTTAGCTGATAGGTGTTTGGTATGATTTCTTTTCTTAAAAAGTTAATTGAAAAAGCTGTTTTGAGTAATTGTTTGAATTTTAGTATTTTAAAGTATAAAAAATTAATTAATCAAACACTTATATTAATTATAAATAAGTCAAAATTATTATAAACATATTAAGTGGACATTATTTGTAACGGACGTAACAGATGCTTTGATTGCTCATTATATATATTTACACCTTGTATTAGATATAGATAAAATATAGATATATATACCTTGTATTATGAGACAAATGATGAGTAAGAGATGATCCTCTTTTCTCTCTTGTCTATTCTGTATATTCTTTCAACACGTTATCAGTATTTTGCTCTACATCCACCATTATAATGAACGGAACCAGATAATCCGTAATAGTCTCTGCGTTCAGATGTCCACTTAATATGTTTATAACAAAAATTGACTAGTAACTATTTTACCAAATAGGATGAAGAACTAAAGATGTTTCTCATAATGTTAGAAACTAAGGGGTTCCAATTAGTATTTTTAGAAATCTGAACGCCCATTTCAAATTAACCCAAAACATAAAATGAAGCATTCGTTACACTGTAACTAACAGCAACCACGGGATGTATGCGACCCATTTTCTGGCTCCACCGCCTTCTACTCCGGCGAAGCGGCGATGCAGTGTTTTCGCCACGACGGCGAGCAACCGTCGCCATCGAGATGAAGTATATGTATCGGCCGTTCCTTTGAGAGCAACCAGAGGGCCGGGGCAATTATTGATGTCCGCTGCGTACTCTCTCAATTTGTGGGATTTTCAGCATTTCATGGTCATTGTCAAATCCTCCTCGCCTCTTCACTCTCAGGTTCCTCTTCTCACTTATCCGTTTCTATTTTCTAGATGATTATGAATTCTCGATTTGATATTTTTGTATGCAAATTGAGAAATGTTTGGCGTAAATTCTTTCACAGTACAAAGATGCAATTTAGTTTAGTTGGACATTTTAGGTTAACAATGGCTTGGAAAATCTGCTGCTCCAATTACAGTATTGATCGTATTCTTTAGGCCATTGTTTGTGATTTTCTTCCTCAAGATCCAGAGAGTATACCAGTGGCTGTTGCTGCACTGTCTGGTAGACCAGTACCAGGTGACACTTTTGATCTTTTGGCCCTTTTCTTTGATTGCAGCTATGGAGTTATGAATAAGGATTAAGAACAATCTTGAGGAGAAAAAATGATTCTGAGCAACATTAAGCTAAGGAATAAGGACTAATAATGGTGCTCCTCCATAAACAACATTAGAGTGAATAAAGATCAAGGAAGAACGACCTTGGGAAGGAAAAAAAATTGAATATGGTTTCCTTATTTTTGCATAGTCCCTTGAACCTTCTGAAAATATTGACATTAGAATGGTATGCTATAAGTTTTCTCTATCTCTGTCAAATTTGGTGCAAGTGAAAATAAGTAAATAGCAAGTGTTCTTGTCAAAATGATGCATGGATGCACTTTCTTTTAAAGTTATGTATCTTCTGCCATTAACATATGCATGTCAGGTGTTGTTCGTATGAGGAAACTGAAGAAGCTACCAAACAAAAAATGCTGGTTTGTTGGGTACTCAGAGATGGATGCTGTTTATGCCACAAGCAAATTCAATGAAAGCTGGGAAACTGACTTGACAATAAGCCATCATGATTGTCGAAATTATGTAAATGGTAATTGCTTTAACAACATTTTCTGCAAATTCTTCACTTCACTTTGCATTCTATTATTTATGATCAGCCTCTGCCTTTGGGTGTTAAAAGCCAAAAGCTTGATTATTCATCCTTCATAAATTGTATCTGTTTTACTTACAGGTCTAGTTGAACAACTAACTGGTGAGATAGCAGTGCTGCAGCGCTTGCAGAAAAGCAGTAATACACAGGTTCAAGACCTAATACCCCTGAAAGACTAAACAAAAAATGCTGGTTTGTTTAGACTTTAGACTTCCAGACTTACATCCTTGATTATATGTATATTAGTAAGATTTACACATTCTAGAACTTCATCAAAAACCCAAATTTTAAACTTATAAAAGCATACAGAGAAGAGTTGATTTGCATTATAGGAGTATATATATATAATATGGGAAACTAGATTACACATACATGATCTGAAGAGTTGTTTCACCCAGCAGACTTTGTAGAATACTACTCCGTACCATTTTAGACAAGCAAAAGCCCCCCACCACAAAGATTTGTTATATACAATGTTAGATAGGTGCTACTCAACAATTGCAGCTTTCTTGGATTCTAACAGAGTACCACACTGCATCTTGTGAGATGCTAGGACAGTCTTTGCAGCAGCAACTACAGCATTTCCGTTTACATAGTGCTGGCGGCAGAGAGGCATGTACATATCCGAACCACCTATGAGCTCTGTCTGGGTTTCACCAGTCTTCCTGTAGGTGAAAAATGCCCGTTTGCCACACAGTTCACATCTTGCTGTCAACTTTTGCACAGTATTGGCAAGTGGGATTATGTCAAGAACTGAACCAAATCTCCTCCTGTGACCAAAAGCAATAATGCCCTTTATCAGACAACAAAACTGGTATGCACTAGTTTATGGTAAGTAGGTAACTATGAGTGTCAATGCATATTTTCAATTTGAGATTCATGGTACCTAAGATAATCACCATCCAGGCCAGCAACAATTATGGTTTTCCCATCAAGATCAGCAGCTTCACAGCAGAAATCATAGAGGTCATCAAAGAACTGGGCTTCATCAACGCCGATCACATCCACCTATCACAGAAAGGAACTGATTATGGGGCAGGAAATATGCTATAAAGCCCAGAATCCGTAGATTGCACAAGAGAGCAGCAGGGTATAAATTCACATGATCCAATACAGAATTGCAGTTAATTCTTGAAGAAAACAAAAAAGGTGAAAGGGAACACAAAAATCACCTTTTCATAGGCATCGGATCCGAATCTATCCTTGAAAGACGTTAAATCAGGCAACGCCATACATGGGAATTTGGTGCCGTCGTGCGTGACCACTGCATCGATTGCATATCTTGTATCTATGCTCGACTTTATCACCACAACGCTTCTGCTTCCAATTTCAAGTTTCAATACAACACACAATTACAGGAACAGAATATTAACTTTTAGTAACTGTTTGATGTGGAAATTGATGGTAAAAAAAAATTACGTACTTGCCCAAGTTTGACTCGGAATTGACGCGGCGGAGGAGAGCGGTGGTCTTGCCGGCGAACATGGGGCCGAGAATCACGTGGATTTCTCCCGCCTTCGGAATCGGATTGGATCCGGGAATGGGGCAGTTGAAGGAGGCAGAAGCAGACGACATGATCGCAGAGTCGTATGAGAGAGAAAATATGTTGCTCTGTAGATGGCTATGGAGGATATTGGATCTCGAGAATTACGGCTTTATAGGAGAGAATGAAAAGGTGTTCGCTATTCAAAATTCCGAGTTTTCGAAATTTGGAGGGAAACTCCATTTTTTTTGGCTTTGAATTTTGGAGGGGAAAAGGAAAAGGCAACTCAATTTTGTGAATGAAAAGCCAAAAAAAATAGCATTTATTTTCATATAATAAATATCTTAACTGTATTACATATGGTATGATAGTGGGAAATCTTCGAATTTGAATAGCATTATAAGTTATTATTATGATAATATAGTTAAAAAAACAATTTATTAAATCAAAATCTCAATGATACCTATGTGAGAGTAATACTTTTATTTTCTTGGTATTCATTATGATTGTTTAGCTCTAAAAAATAAAATCCAAACATCACTTCAACATTTGATTATGTGATCTTCTAAAATTTCTTATATAACAATTTATAAAATTTGAGTAACGGGAAAAATTCATTCACAATCTGTAAATATGCATATGTTTAGGAACCTTCAACGGAGGTCAATGATCTTGTTGACGTTGATAAAGTGAATATGGCGTTCAATCTTGTGTGCAACGAGAGCTAGGAGTCTTTCTACCTGTGTACCCCTTCCCGCATTCCCAACAAAAAATAAGCAAATTTGGTACACAATGAACTCAAATTGCGCATTACTGGCATTTTTTTAAAAAAATATTTCAAATTGCGCACAGCCAAATAGCAGTACGTAGCACCATTTGTAAGCTAAATTTGCATGGAAAATTGTTGGGCGAACAGGACAGGCATGAGGGCGGTTTAATTGTTTCGTGATCATACATACAGGAGAGTGGATAGCTGGGTTTTCTTACATCCTAGCTAGGCCAATTGTACGATGAAATTAATAAACTGAATTATGGGAAACGCCAAGAATCTTCTAACCAAATGTGTCAAACTGATCAGGCAAAGTCGGAGTGTCATTAAAGTTTGTTAATCACTAAATCACTAAATTTGTGGGAAGATCATATAAGTATAAGACTCATATAGTGAAGGACAATGTCTAATTAGGCGGTTAGATTGTTTGATGTTGTCTCCCTCTTAATTCTCTACCAACAACCAAGTTGTTGAATTTAAAGTTTGCTAATCACTTATTAAAAAAAAAGTTTGCTAATCACTAATTTTATTTTTGTAGTAAGATTAAGTATATATAAATTTGCATTAAATTATCGGTGTAAGTTGAAATTAAATTTTACGAGGTTAAATAATGAACTAATAACACATGAAAAAAGTAAACTATCATGTAATATGATGATATTTCAGTTATTATTTTAAATTGGTGGTCATAAGTTTGAGTTGTAAATGTTTAAAAAAATATAGAACATATACTTATATTATAAAGAATTATGAGTATTTTAAAAAAAATATGAAATAATATCTTACACTTCAATTATTAATGTTATATACTCCTTAGAGCATCACTACCTGAAGTGAATACCTAGTTATTGGAACAGTATTGTGCAAAACAATTGATGGAGGCACATGTTTTAATAAAAAGAATACCATTACAAAGGTTGGGTTAATGGCGAAAAAAAAAAAAGCGAGAGAGTGAGAGAAAAAAAAAATAGAGGAAGCGCTACAATGCGCGTTAGGCGCAATTCGCGCCCACAACGGCCGTTGTAGGCGCGTGTGCCACACGCGCCAGGCGCTTCAGAGTGGCTGTCAGCTGACGGGGCGCGTGTGCCACATGCGCCAGGCACGTCAGAGTGGCCGCCAGTTGGCGGGCGCGTGGGCTACACACGCCAGGCGCGCCAGAGTGGCCACCAGCTGACGGCCACTTTAACTTTTACACTACTTGTAACTTCATCTTTTCTTTTTTAAATCTAAGATTTTGTTTAATTTTTTCCTTTTCTTTTTTTTCATCAACATTTTTATCTCTTTCCTAATCACACTTACAAAACCCCTCAAAAATTGCACCGGAGTTAAACTACTATGAATGCTCTTAAGTAAGAATTAAAATCAATAATAAAAATAAGTCAAATTATCAACTCAAAACTAACTTTAAAAAGGCAACAAATTAAATATCTAGTAAAATGGAAATTATAAATATATCTATAAAAAAACGAACTTATTGCATGCCAGCCAAAAGATGATGGGGCATGACGTTAGAAGAGGTTGGAGATCCATAATTTTCAATAAATATTTAAGGATATTTAGAAGAAGCAATTTTGGGTTTTATTTTTGTTGTTTTTTTGGTCATCCCAATCCTATGTTCTTCTTTCTCTGTAGGCTTACCACATACTCTTCTCTTCCTTACCAAAAAAAAAAAAAAAAACAAATACAATTTCAGGCATCCAAAAAATAAATATACATAACAACAAATAGACAACAATTGTAGGGAATTGCAGACTAAGTAGGCATTCCATCTACTGAAATCTGAAACTTTCCAAATTGGAAAAGAACAACAAAGAGAACAGAGGGCATATAGAGGAGGAAGAAGAATAGGCCCTCGGATTCTAGTACCTCGTACTACTGCCTCCTCTCCGGATCTCACTGATTCTTGTTCAATCGACAAATTTTTTATCTGGGTATTGGATTTTATTGTCTTTTGTTATTGTTTTTGTTTAAAAGTTTCAACATTTTATTGTATTGATGCCTTTTACTCTTGATTCTGTGTTGATGAACCCATTGAATCGATTTCAAGGAATTTGAAAGGAACACATTTCATTGTTTCTCTGGGACGTCTATCGATCCTAATCCAGATTGATCGTCTCAAGATCCGGTGATGTTAGATATCATGGTTTAGAATCTGTTAATCTATTGTTGGTACCTAATTTTTATAGCTGATATGTGTGAGGCTTACTTCTTAATAGTAAAGATGTGATTTTTATTGATTGATTGCTCTATCTGTCTGCATTTCTGTTTTGCCAAGTGGAGTGTATTCTTTATTTTTGTGGTTTGAGACTTGGAGTAATAGGATTCATTTATTTTGCAGTAAAATGCAATCTGATCTTGGAAAGTTATTCATTGGTGGGATTTCGTGGGACACAACTGAAGAGCATCTCAAAGAGTATTTTAGTGCTTATGGGGAGGTTTTGGAAGCTGTAATTATGAAGGATAGGACTACTGGGCGTGCCCGTGGTTTTGGTTTTATAGTGTTTGCTGATCCTACTGTTGCTGAAAGAGTTATTAAGGAGAAACACAACATCGATGGCAGGATGGTAAGCCATTGAAAATGTTCTCTTAGTTTGCTCTTGATAGGAAATTGTTATGGGTGATTGAAGTCTTTCTATCTAACCTATGTGCGATTTCCTATCAAGTTTACAACTTTTTCCCTTACTTAAATTTTGAATGTCAATATCGCTTGGAGTTTAGGAACTTTGTATTCATTACTGGTTTCGTTATACAGGTTGAGGCAAAGAAGGCTGTTCCTAGGGATGACCAGAGCACAATGAGTCGAAGCAGTAACAGCATTCAAGGGTCTCCTGGTCCAAGACGCACAAGAAAAATATTCATTGGTGGCCTAGCATCCACTGTTACAGAAAGTGACTTTAAGAAGTATTTTGAACAATTTGGAACAATCACAGATGTAGTGGTAATGTATGATCACAACACTCAGCGGCCAAGAGGCTTTGGATTCATAACTTATGATTCTGAGGATGCTGTGGACAAAGTATTGCTGAAGACTTTTCATGAGCTGAATGGCAAAATGGTTGAGGTCAAGCGTGCAGTTCCCAAGGAGTTATCCCCTGGTCCTAGCCGAAGTCCACTGGGTGGATACAACTATGGAATAAGTAGGATCAATAACTTTCTTAATAGCTATACACAAACATACTCTCCAAATGCAGTTGGAGGGTATGGAGTCAGGATGGATAATAGGTTCAGCCCTATGGTTGGTGGTAGAAGTAACTTTGCTCCATTTGCCTCTGGTTATGGAATGGGCCTCAACTTTGAACCTGGATTGAGCCCGGGATATGGAGGAAGTGCAAATTTCAATAGTACTTTGAACTATGGGCGTGGACCATATTATGTTAATAACTCGAGTAGGTTTGGTGGTCTTGTTGGACTCGATGGTGGAAATGGAGGAAACTCTTCATTTTTTAGTTCAACTCGGGATTTGTGGGGTAATGGGGGATTGAACTATGGAACCAACTCTATAAACTCAAACAATTTTGGGGGATCTGGGAATGGTAACCTCGGAGGGGGAGCGATGAACAACAGAGGAGTTTGGGGTTCATCTACTTATTCTGCACAAGGCGGAGGAAATGTTTCTGGCCAAAGTGGAAATCTTGGCTATGGAAGCGCTGATAACCCTTATGGTTTGACTGGAGGAACATATGGTAGAAATGTTGCGATGAATGGCGGTCCTGCATCATCATATGCTGCGTCCAATGGTAGCTATGACAGGTCTTTTGCTGATTTTTATGATAATGACTTCAAGTATACTGATCCGACTTGGGGTTCTGCAAATTCAGAGCGAGATGGACCTGGTTCATTTGGTTATGGTCCAGGCAACCCACCCTCTGAGATGCCTGCTCAAAGCTCTGCAGCTTCTGTTTGTAGTTATGGTGTTACAAATAGACAGAATAGCCGAGGTAAGCTTCTTGTTAACCCTTTACAATAGTTTTTCTTGACTGCTGAGATTACACATTCCTCTTGATTTATGTGCTTTCCATCTTTGTTTACTTTTGGTTAGACTATGTTCAGAAAAAAAGATCTATTTTTAGAAACTCGCCACTAAGAAGGTTCTTTTAGTTAATTATTTATAGAAAATGTAGAAGTGCAAGTACTAGTCTTTTCTACCCCCATTGAATGTTGTTGTCCTTCATCTTTTAACAAATAAGTATTGTGTTTTGCTATAATGAAAGTCCAAGTGGATCAGCCTTGATAAAATCTCTTCCAAATGTTATTCAAATTCAAGGATATATATGAACTTTTATGAGGTTGTTGGAACATCATCTCTCACCAATTGCGACATCCATTAATGAAAAGGACAAATTTAATTTCTAGTACTTAAGGTTTAAATATATATTCACTGCACTGGCAACTGAGATTGTTGTTAAGAACTCATCACTTTAACCAAGATTGTTGTGTGAGTAACTTGAGTTGAGATGCCATGAGATTTCTAGCCTAACTGCTTCTCAAATTAAAGCTGTTTGTTATTTATTAATGTGCGCTTCATTTGAAATACCTATGACTCCCCCCCCAATGGAGGGTTATGATTTGGAGTTCATTGAATTTGGAGTACCAAGGGTGATAAGTTGACGTTTCAAGAGTGTGGTCCATATAATGGCAAGAAAATAAAATCCCAAGTTCATTAGTGTATGCTGTGAAATCCTCATGATTTATGACTGCAAGAGTCGGTGCCCTAAATCAGTTATTAATATATTTTGGTGTTTAAAATGCATCCAAGATTTTTTTTTCCCCGACTATAGGTATTCTATAATATCTTTCTGTTAAAGGCTTTTAAGGAAGTCATGATGGGTTGCAATTTGCAGATGCATATGTTAGTTTGAGCCGAGGAAATTTGTCGAGGATTATTATGTGATGTTCTTGTAGATAGTTAAAGGACATGATTCAATACTTCGTTAACAATATTATCTTGTCATATGCTTCAATTCTACCGAGTGTAAAGGTGCAATATTGGTGGTTAAGGACATAAAAGGATGCGTGCCCTTTTATTTTTTTGGACGCTGTTAAGAGTCCCACATCTATAAAAGAAGATAGAACATATGGGTTTATAAGGTCATGGGTTAGACTAGCTAATTGGTTGAATTCAATCTTTTAGTGTGGTTTGGCCCATGTGCATTATAGCCCAATAGAGTGACTCTAGCCCTGATGATCATTCTGAACAAATTGAACTTTTTAGTCAGTTTATTCTTTGTAACATCATTATCATTTTCTTCAAATATGTTGCGAGCTGAAGTATTAATCTGCTGATTTTTTTAAAAAAATTTTTGGATCCACAGGTATTGGTGGCTAGGAAATTTTTGGAATCAGGATTTAATGCTTGACAAAGCTTCTTGTAGCAGTGAACCGTGAATTTTGCATACTTCCATAGTATATTTAAGTTCAGTGATTAAATAGTTGGGAATCATTCCAAGAGCTGACTGGATTGCCTGTTTTAAAGGACGACTAGAGATAGTAAGTTTTTCATGATATTTTTGTGTTAACCAGTTGAGTTTTATTTAGGAGTTCCATTTTTGTCAAGAGTGAGGTGTAAAATCAGATTGCGGCATATAGTCAGAAATGTATCTTGCATCTCCGGTGAGGCAGTGATACATAAGAAACAATAGACTAGAAATTTTTCTAGTAAAATTTAGTTTGTGCTTTGTCTTTTTCACTGTAATGACTGCAAAGTTGCAGATTTCTAAATGTTCTGCTTTATGGTATGGTCCAATTGCGGGGCTTTTGTTTTGATCTGGTGTGATGCAATTTACCAATACCCACTTAGGGTTCCCCGTAAATAAGTTCCCACGTTTTCTGATCATCTTTTTAAACCTTGTTACGCCAGATACCCTCTTGTTTCGTGTTGAATTTTCATGGTTAGTGTTTTTTTTTTTTTTTTAGGCACACAATGTTTTTAAGTTAATTATGATTTTCTTTTTAATATGCTTGATGTTTAAGTGATCACATTGTTCTTTAGTTAGTTCGAGATATTAGTGTGGTGCTGTGTTGCTTTGTATTGTATAACATATCATATAGTAAGAAAAACAAGCAAAGCTCCATACATTTCTGTATAGTTTAGGCACAATGCATTAAGTACAGGTGATGAATAATCATTTTCTGTGCATTTTAGGGAGCTTTTGCTGCATTTAGGCTCTTCCATGTCTGTCTGAACTGTGTTCCCGGTTTTTGAATCTGGGTATCTGTCTCGCATTCAATGTCCATAGGGAGCTTCATTTTTGCGAGGGATTCTGTGAATTGCTTCATTTTTAGAGGTTGGTGACAAGAGAAGCAGAAAGGAGGAAGAAGAGAGAATTTGTTCATCTTCATATATCATTGGTCTTTTGCGACAGAAATGTCAAATCTGAGTTCTCATTTAGCTCTAGTGTCGAGTGTGGAATACAGAAAATTAAAGACACCCTGAGAACCTCCTAGAATCCTCTTCCATTCAGAAACGGGTTTTGTTTGCCATCCATTGAACAGATCACTTCATCGCATAGGTAATTCTTTTGATTCTTGGGTGAGAGATTGTGAACAAGGATACTGAATTGAGCTTGACAATAGTAGGGTGAGAGTTATTTACAATGTGGTGCATGAGATCTTTGTGGGCACCCGAGATTGATTCTCCTATCTAATATACTATCAAGTCACCCTGATTTATTCTTTTATTATCTTAGGAAAAAAGTGTCAAATTGGCCCCCTAAGTCAAGCGGATAGTGCAATTGAGTCCCCTAAGTGAAAAAAGCTTCATTTCAATCTCCTAAACCTGTAAAAAAGTTCAATTAGGTCTAAAGTTACCTGTTTGGCAGGTTAGTGTCTTCTAATGGTGACATGTGTCTCTTTTTAATTTATTATTATTATTATTATTATTAGATTTTTAATTTTTTTTAAAAAAAGAAATTCTTCATACAGCCACCGGCTATAGCAGCCGGTGGCTGTACTCATTCAAGGAGAGCCATGGCTGTGGCAACAGCCCTGGCTATCCGGCAGCCATGGCTGTCCTAAAATACGGCCATGGCTGTCTGAGACAGCCATGGCCATCTAAAAAAAAATTTAAAACTTTTGAATTTTTTTTTTACTGTCATGGCACCCATCGCTATGTAAAAAAAAATAAAAAAAATCAAAATACCTATCAGTCTGTCAAGAAATGAGCATTAAGGAGAAAGGAGAAAGGTGGCAGTTCTGTCCGACAATGATGTTGGTTGGAGTGGTCTCGAACTGTAATCAGTAAAATTTATCCCCGTGCCGCGAATCTTGAATAAATATTGATGGATGAAGACAAAAATGGATGTCTAATGAGACAGCCATGGCTGTCAAAAAAAAAAATCAAATTTTTTGAATTTTTTTTAGATGGCCATGGCTGTCTCAGACAACCATGGCCATCATTTTTGACAGCGTCGTTGTCAAAAAAAATTCAAAATTTTTGAATTTTTTTTACACGGCCATGGCTATCTCAGATAGTCATGCCCGTCTTTTAGGACAGCTATGGCTGCCGGGTAGCCACGGCCATCATTTTTTACAGCCGTGGTTGTCGCCGGATAGCCATGGCTGTCCTTGAATGAGTACAGCCACTTTACCGCCGGTGGTGGTATGAAGAGTTAATAATAATAATAATAATAATAATAATAATAATAATTAAAAAGAGACACATGTCATCATTAGAAGACACTAACCTGCTAAACAGGTAACTTTGGACCTAATTGAACTTTTTTACAGGTTTAGGGGATTGAAATGGAGCTTTTTTTACTTAGGAGATTCAATTGCACTATCCGCTTGACTTAGGGGACCTATTTGACACTTTTTCCATTATCTTATCATCATTATCTTGTTAGACCGAGATATGATAATTCTAAGACAAAAGAATTTTGCCTTTTGTGCTAAAAATCACTTCATCATTACTTAATTATTATGTAAGGACAAAACCTACACAATTTTCACCTTTCATATATATGAGATTGACCATTATTATTCTAATTCTTTGAATTTCTTGAATATAATACAAGGCATATTGCCATATTGGGGGGAAGCTCTTTTGAGAAACGGTATCACAATTGTGACAAGGTATGAAAGATGATAGGATAACAATTATTTACTTAATTAAATTTATGTGACTTGTTTCACATTATTAGCTAGTTGACTAGTAAAAAGTAGATCGACCAATAATGATATAAAAACACACAATTTATAACCTTCAGAATTAGGATTCACTTTCCAAAGTGGACCATGGTCCATCGTATAACAATTTTATGACATACAGTTAGATGGCAATGTCTTTAGACTGGACTGAAGTATCCATATTGGACTGTGATAATTGGCAAATTGGCAAATTATGGTGCATACGGATGCAAAAACAACATCGTTTTGCATTAAAACGTGCGTCTCACTTAAAAAAAAAATCAGTTTCGATTCCCAACAACAACATAATGTTATTCAGTTTTTAGTTCATTCATTCTGGATGTATAGCTATGCAATTCTGGATGTATAGTTATGAAGTTATGGATGTCTAGTTATGCAATTTTGGATTTATAGTTATGAAGTTATGGATGTGTAGTTATGCAATTCTGGATGTATAATTATGAAGTTATGGATGTGTAGTTACTCAATTCTGAATTTATAGTTATGAAATTATAGATATTTAGTTATGCAATTTTTTTTTTTAAGTTAAACGTCAAAACGACATCATTTTTGCATCAGGATGCACTATGCATAGTGCATACGGATACATAGCATAACGATCGGTGATAATTTATGTGGGCTAATCAAAATCCATTATTCCATTAAATAAGAAGCATGACATACATGTCTTTAAATATTGCCTTTCAAATTTACGACAAATACATGAGAAAATCAATTTCTCCCATTGACTCAAGATTCGACGGCGCAATAGAATGCGGCTGAGGACTATTCTCGTAGACGGAATCTCCGGCTTGCCACACCTGATTCACAACGCTCCCGTTTCTCAACGGCCCAATCGTCGCAAAAATGATCATTTCCTCGTTCACGTACTCGGCGGACAAGCCGGAAACGCGAAACGATACTCTCTCCGGCGCCATGGCCGGATCGTAGCTGGTTATCGGGGCCGTATAAGCTATCATGCTGCCGTTGGAGGCCCGGAAGGCGATGATCGCTTGCGAGCCGACCATTCCCGTCGCGTTAGGGTTGATGCCCCACGCAACCCAGCCTTTCGCCGCCTGCCGTGCCCGGTAGGCGATGGCGGCTATTCTCACCGACGGCAAGTAGTTCCAGTGGAGGTGGGCGTCTAGGTAGGGAAGATCGGCGCACGATGAGAAGGTTCGGTTGGAATTGAAGGTGTAGTTGGAGCAGGATAGCGACGAGGAGAGGAGGAAGACGGAGGAGAGAACAGTGACGAATAGGAGATTGGTGTAGTGTAGCGTTGAAGCCATTTTTGGAGGTATGGAATTTTGGGAGAAAATGGGACGCTTTTGCGGGGTTTTAATTTGTATAGAGGAGACTGTCGTCGCAATAGGTCATGCATGCAATATGGGTTTTTTATGAGAGTAGTTGAGAAGTTTTATCACACATTCACACCCTTTCCAACCTCAAATTACATATATAGTCACACACCCATTCATGCAAACCATTATGTGACAACTAACTCGAAACTTTTGTATGATTTGTAGACTATTACATTGAAATGAGTTAATTTTATCTTGTACAAATTATTTTATAGTGGCAGGACATTTAGTTTTCCTGATTATTAAACAAAAAAAACCTTGAAATGGGCACGTGATTGAGCGAATGGAGCATGAGTTTCGTACTTAAAATTAAATTAAATGTCACAATTCTTATATATTAACATTATCTCGATCGAACCCATCACATTCCTATGTAACTGAAAAAGGGTTAAACTTCAGCTACTTTAAGATTAAAAAACTACTTGTACGTTTTTACCAATCACTTGTGGAAAGTGTAATCGACAGACCATACGCGTAACTTAGTTGGTTCATAGGTAGTAAATTATGATCGAACAATGACATATGATGTGATAGAGCCCTTGTAGTCATAGTGTGAGAGTTTAATTTCCTTGTAGACACTAGACAATAGTCCGTCTACCTAATGAGCTGCTCAGTCACTGACTCACCGTGAAAGTTCGGGATTGACAAAATTTTGCTTTTGTGGGCAAAAGTGATATTGACTGCTGGCATGAGACAACAAAAAAAAGGTTATCATTAATGTGATAAACAAATGAATATTTATAAGTATAATAAGTAATTTTGTTCCCAGAATTCCAGCCTACTTTCGTTACAATTTCCACAAAACATATTACACATCACCCAAAACTCCGCAAAGCCACCAAAACATATTAAAGAAGCAGTCAGCACCCCTTCCGACATTCGATTCCATATCTTTCGTCTTCTTCAATCTTCATCTCAAAACACAATTTTGTTTTTACACACAATAATTTTTATAATAAAAAATAAAAATAATAATACTAATTACAGATCAGAGCAGAGAGTTATACAATCTTCATTTGTGAATATAAGGTTAGAATATAATGAAGCTTCTTGGGATTGCGGTTTTGCTTCTTTCTACAGTCACTTCATGTTACTGCGAAGGTTGTTTGGATTTTGTGTTCTCTAACAATACCGTTTACGCTTCCTGCACCGTTCTCCCCGTGCTCAGCTCCGTCCTGCACTGGAACTACCACCGGGAGAATCACACGGCGGATATTGCCTTCCGGCACGGCGGCGTCACCTTCTCGGACTGGGTGGCGTGGGGCCTGAATGTGAACGGATCCGGGATGATAGGGTCGCAGGCTATGGTGGCGTTCCGCAACTCCACCAGCGGCGCCGTCGTCGTTTACACCACTCCTGTGTCCTGGTTCAATACTCGCCTTCGACCTGGCCCGCTCAGCTTCCGGGTGCCCAAGATTTCCGCCAACTTTTCCGGCGACGAGATTGTCATCTTCGCCGCCTTGGAGCTCCCCGCCGGGCGGACACGCTTCAACCACGTCTGGCAAGACGGCTATGTCGCCTGCTCCGCCCCTCGTATGCACGCTATGTACGGAGACAATTTGCTGTCTTCTGGATCCGTGGACTTCGCCGTCTCCGGCGAATCCAGTCCCGCCGCCGAAATCGCCGGCGACTCATCCGATCCTTGGTCACGCCGAAAACGCGTGAGTCATTATCTTTTCCCTTTAAATCTTATGATGAATGTTCTTAACATATTATCAAATCACATAAATCTTGTATTCTTTACTTTCCGGTCACGAACTAATTATTAACCGATTAGTTCCTGGTGTTCATAGGTTCACGGCATCCTGAACGGCCTGAGTTGGGGAGTTATGATGCCGATTGGTGCAATGTCGGCCAGGTACGTGAGGGTGTTCAAGTCCATCGATCCAGTCTGGTTTTATCTACACGTCGGAATCCAAACGACGGCCTACCTCATCGGCGCCGCCGGATGGGTCACCGGCCTTAAACTCGGCCATGATTCCCCCGGCATTACACATCGCCAGCACAGGAACCTCGGCATCACCCTCTTCTGCCTCGCAACCCTTCAGGTAGATATATATATCGAACGTTAAATCCAAAGGAAAATATATACACATTTATTGTATGTTTTAAAATTGAAACAGTGGGGGGTACGGTGTGGGTGCAGGTGTCGGCGGTGATATTCCGGCCAAAACCCAATCACAAGTTCAGATTTTACTGGAACGTGTACCACCATACGATTGGGTACACAACCATTCTGTTAAGCATCTTAAATGTGTTCGAGGGGCTTCATATTTTGGACGGTCCCAAGGTTTTATACAGCGTCGTCGTCATCGTCCTACTCGCCGTGGTGGTGACCATGGAAGGCGTCACATGGCGGATTGTCCTCGCCAGAAAAAGCTCTGATGATGATAATGAGAGCAATCAAGCCGATAATAGTGGACATGCTGCCTAGCTAGATATATAATTAGTCTAGCTCCGATCCGATCCTCACCGATATGCTTAATTGCACTCATATTGGAATGCATGGATAGATGGCTTTTTTTGCCATTTTTGGTTGAGAATGAGAAACTCGTAACTACTGTAACTCACAACAGACCACAAGGAGGTAAAAGGTAATGCATTGATAGTCTTGCGAGGTGAGATTCGATGCTGTATTTCATTTTGTATGCATTATATACATAATGTATACGAACATACATTATGGCCTGGTTTCGGACTTTGGGTTTACATATATATTATGATATGAATTGGAATATGATAACGAGTTAATTTCACAAGAGGTCCCTTATTTTTGAAATTAAAATTTTAAATTTAGTTCCAAATTATTGTTTTTGTCATTTAACATTTCAGACTATTATTTTTTTTCTTCTCATGATTTTTTCTATTTTTTTGTAAAGACATTTTTGTCTTTTTATATTTTTATTTTGTTAGTTTTCTGATTTTAACCAGTTTATCGGTTTAGAACTTTAGGTAACCTATGATTTTTAGTAACTATATTTTCAACCGATTTTTAGTAAAGTATTAAACCAATTAAACCGGTTGAAATCGAAAAGATAACAAAAGAAAAAATATGAAGAGACAAAAATGTCTTTACTAAAAGTATGAAAAATCATAAGAATAACTAATTAAAAGTGTCAAAAAATAATAGTCTAGGGTTAAATTTAGAATTATCACCAAAGATAATGAAGCTCTAGTGAAATTAACTCTGATAATAACCAAAGAGTTGCACTACATTGCTTTACTTTTATTTTATTACCTCTTAATATTTGTTTTACGAGAAACTTTGCAACTCCGAAAGTGTATATACATGGGATGAAGTCCATCCCGGCCCGGTGGTCTTAGCATGCTAAAGATCATGATCATGAATGTAAAATAATTTAGACAAAATTTGATTAACTTACTCAATTTAAAAATGTTAATAGGTAGCTTCCAATTGAACTTTTATTCGTATCCCATTCAATAGAAAGGGGGAATGCTGAGATTTTTTTTTTTAAATAATTGAATTTAAACTTATTAAAATAAATTTTAAAAAATAAATTTTAATGGAGGTGGGGATAGCCAATTGCAGTTTTTTGAGTGGCCAAATTAGTATATTTGAGCATTATAATAATAATAATTAGTCATTTACATGCATAACGCACATGATTAATTGTCTAATGTTAAAATTATGATTATATATATTCAAATAGTTGTTAGGTAAAATATTGTAAATGGTTGATTTATTTGTGATAATTTTGTTTAAATATATTTGTGTTGATTAGTTATATTTTTTAATTGGTAAATAGGTAAAGAACACTTTATAAGAAAAAATATTTGGTTTAATATAATATTTAATAATTAGGTATATTAATGTAATAGAGCTAGCCAAACACCTTATGCTCAAATGACATGTAGTGATCTCTCTTATGTAGAAAGTATGTTTGAACAGATACTACAATATAATAAAGTCAGTAACATTAAAAAAAATGTAATAAAAGTAAATGTATGTAAATATAAACAATGTAAAGATAATTTGATCAGAAAAAAAAAATATTAAAGCACAATATTTTTAATATAATGTATAAGCATAACAAAAAAGAATATAATTCAAATTCAAATAATAATAATAATATCGTTATTCTTAAAAAAAAAAAAAAATCGTTATTATTATTATTATTATTATTTGAGTCGGGGCTTTTAAACGAAAACCTCCACCACAGAAGTGAAATGTAGAGACGAGGAAGAAGATCAATGAAGAACCTCACCATCCTGCAAAGGATGGCCACCTTATCGCTACCCACTTCCCGCTCTCTCTTCGCGCTTTCTCCCAATTCCAATTCCAATTCCACTTTCTCTTCCCTCACCAAACGCCGCCAATTTCCCACTGCCCTATTCGTATTCCACCCCTCCAGCTCCACTGCCACCAGGCGAAGCAGTTTCAGGTGCATCTCCGCCGCTTCCTCCGCCGTCGCCACTGATTCTCCAGACACACAAGTGAAGCCTCTTGCTGATGATGTTGATGAGAATAGCGCCCAGAAGGAGAGAGTTGTTCTCCCTACTAATGAGTCGTCTGAGAGGCTCCTCAGAATCCGCCACACGGTAACTTCGTTTCTCCCCTTTTTTCAATTAGGCGGTGTTTATGTTGTTATGGGATAAAAATTGAATCTTGCGAGATTAGAGTTGAAATGGTCTCCAGTGGAGGAATAATTCATACACTCATGTGAAAAAAAATGATGTAAATTAGTGAAGGAAATGGTTCAATTTCACTTCTCAGTTTCTCAAAAAGTTGTGTGCTTTGATCATTGAGATGAATCTAGTAAAGGTATTGGCCCTATAGGAATTTATTGCATTGCCAAAGATTATGCAAAACCCAACCTTTTGGATTCTTCTGTTGAAATTGTCTTGATTGGTAATTGAAAATCCTTAGAATATTAATAGTTTTCTTTAATACTTAATGTATTGGTGCAGTGTGCTCATGTGATGGCCATGGCTGTTCAAAAGATCTATCCAAATGCAAAAGTAACTATTGGGCCGTGGATTGAGAATGGGTTTTACTATGATTTTGATATGGAGCCTCTGACTGACAAGGACCTCAAGAGGATTAAGCAGGAGATGGTGAGTGGACTTAGTTCCTAATTACTTTCTATTTTTGACTTTGTTAATTGAAAAATGTGGTAGATGAGTACATGTTAGAAAAATTTCATGGGCTATGGTTTCTACATACAGAATTTATATGAATCATCTGTAGGATCGTATCATCAGGAGAAATTTGCCCCTAATTAGGGAAGAAGTCAGCAGAGATGAAGCTCAGAGAAGAATTATGGCTGTGAATGAACCTTACAAGATTGAGATTTTGGATAGTATCAAGGAGGATCCCATAACCATCTATCATATTGGTATGACTTGACATTGCTTGTTTGAAATTGAATAATATACCAAATTCTCTTTCTCATATTGTGTTCGACTATGTGTCTATGTACAATATTGCCTGTAAATTGATGTTAAATTATGCTGATATCCAGTTCTATGAACTGAATACTTTATTTTAATTCATAATAACTGAAGTTGTGAAGGGTTGAGCTTCATGTAACGACGGGTGTACACCCTTTTGTTGCATATAACCAGCTTAGGCTTTTAGTTGAGATGGAGCACATGCTTCAATTTGGTATCACAGCCAGACCGAACCCACCGCACACGTGAGGGGGCGTGTTGAGCATATAACCATTAATGTGCAATCCAACTATCAGCTTAGACTTTTAGTTGAGATGGAGCACATGCTTCAATTACCCTTTGGTTATGGTTCAAAGCTTGGAATTAATCTCTTTCAAAATGATGTAACGGTTGTGTAAATATTTATGCATCTAATCTACATGGTGTGGGAGCCTTTGATTCTCATAACATGTTACACTTGTTTTAGGTGATGAATGGTGGGATCTTTGTGCTGGGCCTCATGTTGAATCTACTGGAAATATTGACAGGAAAGCTGTTGCACTTGAATCCGTTGCTGGTGCTTACTGGAGGGGAGATGTAAGTAAGCCGATGCTCCAAAGGATTTATGGTACAGCATGGGAGACTGAAGACCAATTAAAGGCATTTATTCACTTCAAAGAAGAAGCTAAGCGCCGGGATCACCGCCGACTTGGCCAAGATCTCGATCTCTTCTCTATTCAGGCAAGTCTAACAAGAAACATATCGAGCAATGACTGGTGAATATTAGCAGTTACACCTTAAGTGCACCGATTTTGTTTTGCTAAGATGAACTGAAACTCAAACTCATGAACTCGCAGGATGAAGCTGGTGGAGGTTTAGTATTCTGGCATCCCAAGGGAGCTGTTGTGAGGCACATAATAGAAGATGCGTGGAAAAGGATCCATATAGAGCGTGGATATGATCTGCTATATACTCCACACGTGGCAAAGGCAGATCTTTGGAAGATAAGTGGCCATCTGGATTTCTACAAAGAGAATATGTTCGATCAAATGGAGATTGAGAATGAGCGTTATCAGCTTCGACCAATGAATTGCCCTTACCATATTTTGGTTTACAAAAGGAAGCTACACTCATATCGGGATTTCCCAATCCGGGTAGCAGAGCTGGGAACGGTGTACAGATACGAGTTGTCTGGGAGCTTACATGGCCTTTTCCGTGTAAGAGGCTTTACACAGGTATGATTATTTCTTGTGAATCTATACTGCGGATAATTTACCCATCAATGTTGGAATCTTGTGCTCGGCTATTCAAAGATGGGAATTTTGTTTCATGCCTGCCCTTCTCTTTGCTCAATACTAATGTCACATTCTTTTTTGTTTGAAGGATGATGCACACATATTTTGCTTAGAGGATCAAATTAAAGATGAAATCCGGGGTGTACTAGATCTTACAGAGGGAATTTTGCAACAATTTGGTTTTGATAATTATGAGGTCAACCTTTCAACAAGGCCAGAGAAATCCGTGGGAAATGATGATATATGGGAAAAAGCAACTTCTGCACTTAAGGATGCTTTGAACGACAAATGTTGGACTTATCAGATAGATGAAGGAGGTGGTGCCTTTTATGGTCCTAAGATCGATCTCAAAATCGAGGATGCTCTAGGAAGAAAGTGGCAATGCTCAACCATACAGGTACTTTCACCTTTTCCGGCTTTCCCTTGTCACTCGTTTTACAATGATAAAGTATCCTTTAAGAAAATAAAATATGACTTCAAAAGTGCCCCGTGCGATCCTTTCTTGCAAAATAAGATCGACCCTGAAACTCCTGATACTGTTGTGTACAGGTGGATTTTAATTTACCGGAGCGTTTTGACATGACATATGTTGACTCGGACCAAGAGAAGAAGCGCCCAATCTTAATCCACCGAGCTGTTCTTGGATCTCTGGAGCGGTTCTTTGGAGTCCTAATAGAGCATTATGCCGGCGATTTTCCTTTATGGCTTTCTCCAATCCAAACAAGACTTATACCCGTGACTGACACACAGGTATACACCTGCTTCCTTATTCGCAAGTTTGGGTTTTTCTATCAATTTATATTTTATATAGAAATCAATCAGATATATTTTCATTTACCCTTACATTTTACCATAACTTCCAACCCAATGCTGCTGCTTGCTGGCCCATTGTATATGCAATAATTGTTTGCAATGCCATTCGTCACCATAACAGTAATAAATCTCCGTAAAATTAGAACTTTCAGCTTATAGAAGAGCAATGTTGTAGAAGGCGCTAGGCGGGCGAGTAATAGTAATAAGAAGTTGGTTGACTTGGGCACCTAGGCTGCCTCTAATAGTTGGATTGCACATTAATGGTAACACCCCCTCACGACCTTTGGTCTGGCTCTGATACCAAATTGAAGCATTTGCTCCATCTCAATTAAAAGCCTAAGCTGATAGTTGGATTGCACATTAATGGTTATATGCTCAACACGGCCAACTAATGTCCGCCTAAGGGTAAAAACCCCTCGGCCGATTTTTACAACAGTCTAGAAGAGGATGGAACTTGTGCCATAATTGATGTCGTAATTTTATTATGAATTGAAATCTTTATTACACACATACTTGCAGCTTGAGTTTTGCAACAAGGTGGAGAAGAGACTAAAGGCGAGCGGCATTCGTGCCGAGGTTTGCAGCGGTGAGCGTTTGCCAAAGCTCATTAGAAACGCAGAGAAGCAGAAGATCCCATTGATGGCTGTCGTCGGGCCAAAAGAAGTGGAAAGTGATGCAGTGACAATCAGATCAAGATTTGGTGGTGAATTAGGGACCATGCAGATTGATGACTTCATCAGAGAAGCCAAGAATGCAATTGAGAACAGAACATTCTTTTGAAGTGTATACCTTTGACTGTCGAACTCGCTGTGTTATGCGTTTATATAAACGTGAAATAGCCGAAAAACATGTACAGAATTATCTGGTTCTTCACGAAATATCATCATTTTGATAGATCAGGCTGGTTTTGACATGGCGTCAACCGGTTTAAATAGACACCAAGTTCTAGCTGTTAGGGTATCCACAACCATTCTCCTCTTATCTCTTCATCACATCACCATATAATCTTCTGTCATATTTTCTTGAGTTATACTATAGTTTCTATTTCTACTCAATCACTTTTACTCCATTATATGGCGAAGAAGTTATCTTCGTCTTATGAGTCCCAAGTAAAATGTCAAAATGTCAAGGACTTTGTGGTTCAATAACACCAAATTGCTCCCTTATGTAGGAGCTAGGTTGTGAATTTGAGCCTCAATAGAGGCGTTATTGACTCATTTTGCTTTAATTGGTTGAGAAAGTAGTTATGAACATATACTGCATTGTATTAGAGTTAGAAGTATTAAAAAAAAAAGAAGTAAAATGTCAAAATCAAAATTTTGTGAGAGGAAAGTAAAAATTGAGAGTAGAATTTGATAGTAGTAGTATTTTCTTATTTTCTCTCTTTTTTGTGGGTCCTACTCATCCATACCCTTACATATGTCATCACAAAAAACATATCATTAGATACTCATTACAAAAAACGCACCATTAGGTATGCATAAAAGCACTGCACAGTGTTCAGAAATGCACAATTAGGTGTGTGGAAATATTTTTTTTTGAGTGTGTTGTGAATTTTGTGGTGTATTTGTACATTTCATTATTGTACATTTTCCTAACACTATTGATACTTTTTTTAAGCGGTGCACGTTAATACGTGACCGCATTTGAGCAAAACTCTATTATCCACATTTGCAAACAAAATGAAATACAGCTGAACATGATTTTTTCCCCTTCGTTATTGATATTTATTAATAAGTACGTGGCTGACTTAATTTGTGATTACTAAACAAATTAAATAATTACAGATTCACGCATGAAGGTCATTGCCATTTTAACCAAGCATGTGGAGTGTGGAGTGCTACATGGAGAGGAAAGAGCCACATAACCAATGCAACTAATTAACTAACCAAGCTAAGCTATCATGACTTTTATTTATTAATTAATCACTTAAAATATCCCCAACTCAATTTTTTCAAGTGGGAAAAACCTACAACAATCTGTTTGGTGCAGATAGGTAGATAAAAAATGAGTTCTATTATGGGGATTCTTAAATTTTACTTTATTAATTATATTTTTTAATGGTAAATATCGATAAGATATTTTTATTTGGTGGATTTAAAAAAAGTTGTCTACATACAAGATTATTGAGTGGGGGTAAAAGATTTGGGGTATAATTTGAAAGTACAAGTAGTATTTTTCATAGAAAATACTTAGAGATAACTTTCTCTAAGAAACTCAAAAAATAGTCCTATAACTTTGGGAGAAGGGGTATCTCTTTACGAAAGGAGTTGTAGTGACCTAGTCGAGACGATGGTTTATAAAAAACATAGGTTAGTACGTAATTGGTAAAACACTTTATTATATACTCTCAAATTTTGTATGAATTATTGACCGATTCAAATCAAGAAGCATTATCTTGTGAGCCTAGTCGACAAATGATCACAAATAATTAAACTAGCCTAGTTGCATCGACTCAAACCAAGAATATGCCAATAAGCTGCTAATTAATGTTAAGACTCGCATTTGTAATCTTATAATTACCAAGTCAATAACCTGACCAACTTGACTGAGATTGTCTCCATTAAGAGTAAAAATTAAAAATACATGTAGCATAACTCAACTCCAAATTATCCATTCTAAGTATTCCACTTCCACAACCATAAAAATTTTATTTTCTTTTTGCCAGAATGATCAAAATATATAGGTAAAAATTAAAAGTGAAAATAATAAATGTTGAGTTGGGTGAAAACAAAATTAAACCAGCATAAATTTCAAACTAAACGATTAACTAACTCAAATTAGGCAATAAATTAAAAGTCTCAATCGGAAGAGACAATTAGCTAAAAAAGTTTAGGCAGAATAACTGATTGAATGTAAATGTCGTCTCCAACTTCACCTCTCACACTATAAAATCCAACAACGCATCCATTCACAACACCAAAACATAGAAGAAACAAAAAACAGTAAAAACCCAAAAAAAAAAAAAACAAAAACAAAAGGGGAAATACTTCTAACCAATAAAGAGAAGACATGAAATCCATACTGATTCAAGCTGCATGGTTCTGCATTTTGCTGGCGTCTTTTGTAACAGGCTTGCATGCCGCCTTTTTCGACGTTATGAAATTTGGCGCCAAGGGCGATGGAAAAGCAGATGATAGTAAGGTACACTTCTGAATTAATTTATCTTTTTAGTTGTGACGATATATAGACAATAGTGTGATGAATTTTTAAAAAATTTTGTATATAATTTGAAATGTTTAAGGTTGTGGGACAATTCAAGACTAGTTTACAAGTTCAATTCTAAGTAGAAGATTTATTGTCTTTCTTGGTTTACTTGTCGGTCAACTAAAATGTTTAAGGTGGTTTACTGGTTTTGTCAAACGTAGGCGTTTACGGGTGCGTGGGGCGCGGCATGCAAAGCACCGGGGGCGAACACGATTACGGCGGCCGGCAAATTCATGGCCGGGCCGATTTGGTTTCAGGGACCTTGCAAAGGTCCCATCACCATTGATGCTCAAAAGATGAATCTGTTGGCTTTACCGGATCCCTTTGCGTTCAAAGGGCACGGCGGATGGGTCACCTTCTCCCAGGTCATCGGAGTGACTATCAACGGCGGCATTTTCGACGGCAATGGCGCCACCACCTGGAACCTACCCGACTGCGGCAAAAATGGCCATATCTGTCCTCTTCCCGCTGTAAGTAAACTAATGAAAAATCTGTATTTATAAACTTATCATTATTAATTACTTTCTTCATTTCATTTGATACTACATGCATGCAGAATCTGCAATTTAATGCGGTGACGGGTCTGAGACTCATCGGACTCACGAATCGGAACAGCAAGCAATTCCACTTGAGGATTGGGTCTTCCAAGGACGTGACAATAGAGCGCTACACCGTCGACGCGCCGGGGAACAGCCCGAACACGGACGGAGTCCACATCGGGCAAACCAGCAAAGTAAGCATCATCGGCGCCACCATAAAAACCGGCGATGACTGCGTGTCCTTGGGCGACGGCGTCCAGGATGTGCACGTGGAGAAGGTGACCTGCGGTCCCGGCCACGGGCTGGCCATCGGAAGCCTGGGCAAGTACCCCAACGAGAAACCCGTCTTGGGAGTCACCGTCAAGAACTGCACCCTCACCAATACACTGAACGGCGCCCGGATCAAGACGTGGCCCGGCTCCCCGGTCGGCAGCGCCACCAACATGCACTTCGAAGACATCATCATGAACAACGTCTCCAATCCTATCCTCATCGATCAACAATATTGCCCATGGAATCAATGCAAAGCCGGGGTACGTATCACTTAGACTGTTAACTTGATAACTATAAACGTTACAATTTCAATCAGAGAGGCCTCAACTGGTCTTATTGATTTGACCCAATCAGCTATCAGGTATTTAACAATATAGACTGAAACTTGAATTTCAGGCCCCAACTTATTTTATTGATTTGACAGCTATCAGTTTTTTAGTAGTATAGACTGAAACTTGAATTTCAGGTCCCAACTGATCTTATTAATTTGACCCAATCAGCTATCAGCTATTTAGCAGTATGGACTGAAACTTGTTTTTGCTTTGTGAAGCTTGCGTCGAAAGTGAAGCTGAGCGGCATCGGATTCAAGAACATAAAGGGGACGTCGTCGAGCAAGATGGCGATGAAGATAGATTGCAGCCCGGCGGTACCGTGCCAGGGTGTAGTGATGAACGATATCAATTTGATTTACAAGGGAAAGGATGGATCGGCAGTCTCTAAATGCACCAACGTCAAGCCTTCCATCATCGGAAAAGTCGTCCCAGCGGCTTGCTCTGTCCATAAGTAGAAAATACCGGCCGGTATCAGTACTGTACTGTATAAATAAATAACTGTTGGGGCCTACTAGTCGTACGTATAACCAACAAAGGCTGGCCTATTGTCCCGCCATTTTTTATTTTTTATTTTTTATTTTAGTTATTGTCCCGCCACTTTAGAATCTATGTAATAATGCTATTATATAGATTATATAGATTTACTTATAAATGAAAACAATTTAAATATTTTTACTACATTATTATTGAGTTGTGATGATTGTATCAAAGTTGAGGGATTATCTCTACTCAACAAGGTTGCAATTGAAAATAAAGCATATAATAGTTGCTCCCTAAATATATAGTTTTTAAAAGAAATACTTTTTTTTTTTTAAATTTACCTTGTATATTTATTTTATTAAGTACTACCCATGATTCTATGAATCACTTCATTATATCATATAAGTTAATTAAGTAAAACAAATAGATTAAAATATCTACATAATAATCAAATATTTAAAAACTTATATAATAATAACACATGGAGACATAAGAAATGAAAGATAATTTTGAAAAAAAAAAAATGGCATGATAACTCAATAGTTTATTAATGCTACACTAGTATTTTTAGAATTGGTTAGGTTGGGTCGTCAAAATTATATAGACCTCTTTTTAACAACCATCATTTTTTTTAAAGTACCCATGAATTACCTCATTATTATATCATATATAACTAATATAAGTTAATTAAATAAAAATATAATTAAAATATTTACACAATAATCAAATGTTAAAAAGTCTACTATAATAATAACACCTTTTACAAATTAATAGATAATTTTGAAAGAAAAATATAACATGATAGCACAATAGTTTAAATGTTACACTAGTATTTTTCTGAATTGATATGTTGGGTCAAAATCATATAGGATCCTTTTCAACAACCGTCATATTTTTTATTTGAGCTTCATTTTATAAAATTATTAGTTACGAGACGTGCATTGTGCGAATAATTTAATGTTCAATGTGTATTATTAAATAATGTTTCAAAATTTACCAAAGAATCATTCAGTATCCTATCATATATGAATTCAATATTATCAAAAATTTTATAAAAATAAATATTTCAAGAATCCATAAATATAACATGTGACAGAAATGTTTGATTAACGGGTGCAATAGCAGGTTTAGAGGGAAATGTCTTCATTGGATAGTACCCAAGCATTGTTTTTACAACACATAACTCTATTAATTTTACTAGTTTGGCATGATCAATGTTTTCTCTTGTTGTCACTCCCGACAAAAATGAATTCTTGATTAATTAACCAAAGTTCATGTTAAATTTTATATTGTATTTCTTTAATAAACTTTAACATATTCATAGTTATATGCCAATTCTAATTAGGATGAGGTTCGAACGTAAGACCTTCCTTATGAAAATCAATAGGTAAGTCAATAATAATAAATAGTTAATGGAATATTTCGTTACTAAAGTTTACACTAACATAATGCAGGAATACTTAAGAAAAGTAAATGATATAATAGATGGTCAAGTAGGAAAAATAATAATAAAATACTAAAATCAAAATAATATGAACAATTCATTCCAACTAACAATTAAAACAACATTTTTTTTGTTCCCGTTTAGAGGCCCAACTTTATTGGTTAAGTTTGTAGATAATGCAATCCAGTTGAGTTTTTTAAAGGATTTATTTGAGCGTAATCGACGAGTTTAGACAGTTATTGAGTTGCTAATATACATCGGTAACACTATTGACATATGTTGTTATATGTGTATTATTGTGTGACCTAATCGGCCAATCACCACTACTAATCAAATGATATCATATCCGCATAGACAACTCAATTGATTACAGAAGTGAAGTTTAGGAACAATGACTCGGGGTTACCATAATTTACATATTCTCATATACTCTGTCAGGTTGAAACGTAAATATCGTGGGAGATTATTGGAGTTGAAAATTCAACCTTTTGAAAACCACAATCAAATGATACGAGGTAGGCAAATTGTAAGATATTATCATGGCATATACAAGATAAATTCACTACATATGGACTCTATTCTACCATATCATACTTCTTCCATTTCAACCAATTTCCCAATCTCATTATACGTGAGCCTAACTCAGTCTAATTTACACCATCACAATTAAAACACTTTTTTTTTCCAGTCAATTTTAAATTTTAAATTCTACACGTACCAAATTAGTTTTTAAATATATACTCCGACACTCCGTATAAATGATGTAGTATATTAAATAATACGGAGTACGAAATTAATTCATATATAAAAATAAATTGTTTTTTTTTTTTTCCTATTTTCATATACGGAGTAAAAGAAGATGCCAAGATGGCATGACGAGACGGGAGGGAAATAGCCAAATAGGGAATACATATTTTGTAAGGTTGGAAAACTAACCATCGTGAAGCTGAAAACCACCGATATTTCATATATATCATGCCGGTATTTCGCGGGTCTGATCGGCAAAACCGTTTTTCTCCTTTCTCCCTTGCTCCCTTTCTCTCTTCCTTTTTCGTTCTCTCTCTCATTTCCATCTCTCTTAGCGGAAGAGGAGATGATCCGCCATAATCCCCGCCCACAATGATGATTCCTTTGAGGTAAGTTTGCTGTGCTGTTCATATTATCATGTACGAACGATATGAATTTACGATTCTCTGATGATAATTTTCCATTTGAACGTTATCTGTGATTATGTTGAATGTGTTTTTGTTCCTGAGATGATATCATGTGGCTCAATTGTATAAAGTAGTGTTGAAGTTAGAACGTAACAGAGTTTTTATGAATAGCAGGATTAGGAGCTAGAGAGGTGTAAATTGCTGTTATAATTTGGTGTTGTTATTTACGGAGTATTTGCTTGTTTTTGCAATGATAGGATCTTTGAATCTGGGCAGATTGTGTTTGATCCAAGTCTACATGAGATGTAATGTCTCCTTCTCATAATAGGGGCTTATTGATATATAGTTTGATACATTGATTAATATTCGTTGGGAGAAGGACGAAGGGGGAGAAACATGTCTGGCTTTGATGGTGTTATGGTTTCCGATCCGGAGCTTCGTGCTCAATTTACTCAACTCGAGTTGCGTGGCCTCAACACGAGAGTATGTCAACTGCATTGATGTTTTGTTTACTGTTCTGTTCATTTCTCAGGATTACATTTCTCTAGTCGTCGTGTTTTGAGCATGGTTTTGTGTTATAGTCCTAATGATTGCAATAGATGACATGTAAAGCATTCTGTATACGTGTTGGTTATTATTGATTGCAACGTAGTAGGCTACATTTGTTGTCACAGTTTCTTTCTGCAAGAAATCAATCTGGAAATGTCAAGTTGGGAGATTTGCCACGGGTTATGTCGCAACTGAAGGCATTCAATGGGGTTTTGAGTGAAGATGAGATTAAGGCCATATTGAGTGAGTCATCTTCTGACTTGAATGAAGAAATTGATTTTGAATCCTTCCTGCGGGTGAGTATAGCATCGACTTTTGATTTTACCTTCTTTCTCCCTCCCTCTATACTTTGATATACTTGATATAAAAAGCTTTTTTATTTGGTCATCACTGTAGCTATATTATGTACCAAAAAACAATAATTATATTTACTCTGGTCATATGTAGTGCCATCACCTTGAATCACTTTAATGTTTTATGAGTGGTTTGTATGCTACAATGTCATTTTAATTTAGGCATCTTTCCATGTGCTTCCATATTTAGTTAACCTGAGGCTGTGAGGTAACATAAGAATGACTCTTTTTGTGTAGGCATTTCTCAATCTACAATCACAGGCCCCTGCGAATTCTGATAGTACAAAAATTAAAAGTTCCTCTCCTTTTCTCAAGGCTACCGCTTCAAACCTTCGCGATACGATTATCGAATCAGAAAAGGCTTCTTATGTTTCACATATCAACACCTTTCTAAGAGATGATAAATTCTTGAAGCAATTTCTTCCTATAGATCCATATTCAAATGCATTATTTGATCTAGCAAGGGATGGTGTTCTTCTGTGGTGAGCATAAATGATTTTGCAATCATTTGGTTTCTTAGACAATGTGCCATTTTAACATCCCATCCCATCCTTACTACCTCATAGCATGCATGTTTTGATCACTTCATATTTTGGTGTCATGCAGTAAACTCATTAATGTTGCTGTCTCTGGAACAATAGATGAGCGAGCTATTAATACCAAGAAAGTTCTTAATCCTTGGGAAAGAAATGAGAATCATACACTTTGCCTTAATTCCGCAAAGGCTATTGGCTGCACAGTGGTCAACATTGGTACAGAAGATCTAGTTGAAGGAAGAGTATGTTTAGTAGTCTATGTAATTTATCCATTAGAGTTGTGTTATAATTTACGGAGTACATCATCAATATGGAAGTTGCTAAATTTCCCCCTTTAATTTTTTTTTTTTTTTTACTGTTTTTTTGTCCTTATCAGCCACATCTCATCCTTGGGTTGATTTCTCAAATTATCAAGGTATTTTCCTCCTCCTAATTGTTTCAGGAAAAAAAATTAACTTAAGATGTGTTTTGTCAATAATGCTGATTTTCTTTGTTGGCAATCAGATACAATTGTTAGCTGACCTCAACCTGAAGAAAACTCCTCAACTTATTGAACTGGTGGATGATAGTAAGGTTAGTGGACCCTGATTGATTTTCCTGTGGTTTATAGTACAACTAGTTTGATAACACATTGCTGTCGTGCTAAATCTAAATTTTTGTAATGAAATTTGCAGGACATGGAGGAGCTCATTAGCTTATCTCCTGAAAAGATTCTGCTGAAATGGATGAATTTTCATCTTAAAAGAGCAGGATACAAGAAGCAGGTTACAAATTTTTCTACTGATGTGAAGGTGAGGTTTTCACAATGCCTTGCACACTGATCCTGACCTTGTATTTTGTTTATTGGAAAAAATTTTACATGTAGTATGGATAGTTTGATACACATAATGTCTGTTTAAATCTTACTTCAGAGCTTCCTGGTCTTAATATCTCTCTTATCCTCAGGTTAGTAATTGGAAAAGCATAAATGCTTCCTATTTTAACTTGTAGAACACACATTATCCCTAAACATCGATTGCAAAATTTAGATGCAGAGTGTGTATTTCTGTTTTTTCCCTGAAAATCTAACTCCAGGACTTCATGGCCTTGAAACTCTCCAAAATCAAGACAGCTACTGTTTATTAATGGGTGGCTCCTAATTTTACTTGTAGAGAAGATTTTACCCATATTTTTTTGTGATAATTTCGGATAATGTTTATCCCACTTTTTGTCCCTTGATTATAGTGGAATGTCCACTTTTGGGCCTCAATTTTTAAAAAATGTTCTACTTTTACTTTAAATGCTCTCACTTTGTGAGGCATTTTGGACAAAAAGTGAAACGTCTTTTAAAGTCAAGAACTAAAAGTTAAACAAATCAGAGTCAAGGACCAAAAGTGGAATAAACAAACTCTTTTCGATACTTTTGTTAACACCACATTGGAATAAAAACTTTTTGAGGGAAAAAATGCAATTAAGAGAGTCATTAAGATTTTCAACCTATCATTCTATAAATTAAAGGAAAAGTTGGACCTGTGTGCAAAGTATCACATCATGCTATCATGCAAAGTATAAAAATGATGTATATAGCTTAGATTTGTTTCCAGGGTATGGACCCCTGGCATAACAGTCAGCACAAGATGATCAAGCACCCTGCTCCAAGTCCAACCTTAAGAGGAAAATGAATGAATATTTAAGTTTAGCATCCATGATTAAAGTTCCGCTATTCAACTTATATTGTTGGAGCACTAAATACTGTCCTGGTAATATCATGAACTCTTTTACCTACAGGATGGAGAGGCCTATGCCTACTTGCTCAATACTCTTGCACCAGAATATGGTTCAACTAGCACACTTGACACAAAAGATCTTATGGAAAGAGCAAATTTGATTCTTGAGCATGCAGTGAAAATAGGCTGTAAAAGATATATCACTCCAAAGGACATTGTCGAGGGGTCACCAAATCTCAATCTTGCATTTGTTGCCCTAATATTCCAACAGAGGTCAGATGCAGCATGTTAATCCTTTCTTCAACCAAGAGTTGATTGTATCTTATTGAACTTTCATATCACTTAGAAATATCTCAGTCTTGATATAACAAGGCAAAACATTAAATTGCTACAAACTACATCCTTCTGACAGTGCCTGGCAACAAATGATTTACTTAACTAGGATCTGCTACAAATGTTTATTATTTTATTGTTGCCATTTTGCTTTAGATACAATTTTAATTTCCATTATGTTGTTGACAATGTTCTAAATAAATGCATAAGTAGGGGAAAAAAGAGAATAGAAAAATGAATGAAAGGAGGCTGTTAATAAGTGATATTTCTGTCATGGAGCAATATGTCTTTCACCTGTTTTGATGATCATACATATGGAAATGATACGGGCTTTACCCTTTTGACATCACTTGATTGCTGACATGTATTTATAACTCTTGTGCTTGTCACAGTTTGTTTTTTACTTAATGCCCCTCCAATAGGTGACATGCGCTTGTATTACAGGATTGGATTATCCGTTGACAACAAAAAGTTATCTTTCGCAGAGATGATAGCTTATGATGCTCAAACTTGTAAAGAAGAAAGATGCTTCCGATTGTGGCTTAACAGCCTTGGAATTGATACATATGTCAACAATTTATTTGAGGATGTTCGTACTGGGTAAGGTTGGATATTTTCTGGAGATATTTTGACTTTCTAAATGCTACTCAATGATGACCATCTTGTGCACAGGTGGGTTCTCTTGGAAGCCCTTGACAAAGTTTCCCCTGGAATAGTAAATTGGAAGCAAGCTACAAAACCTCCAATTAAGATGCCTTTTCGAAAAGTTGAGAATTGCAACCAAATTGTAGAAATTGGAAAAGAATTAAATTTCTCACTTGTGAATGTGGATGGAAATGATATTATGCAAGGAAACAAAAAGCTCATATTAGGTAAGTTTACCTTATCTCGCTCCTAGTGACAGTATTCTTGAGGAAGTATTCAAATTTCTTTCTTCCAGCTTTTTTGTGGCAGTTGATGAGGTTTTCTATGATCAAATTGTTGAAACACTTGAGATTTCATTCCCATGGAAGGGAGATATCAGATACTGACATACTAAATTGGGCAAACAAGAAAGTGAGAAGTGCTGACAGAAAATCTCAGATTGAGAGCTTCAAGGTTCTATGCAATTTTTTTACCGTGGTTTCTATGTTAGAATTATGATTCCATTACCTGAAGGTGTTGTATTTTCATTATGGTTTCAGGATAAAAGCATTTCAAAAGGAACTTTCTTTCTTGAACTTCTGAGTGCTGTCGAACCAAGGCTTGTAAATTGGAGCATAGTGACCAAAGGGGAAACAGGTAAGGCTCTTTAGGGTTTTCATCCTCTTAGGGTATATATTAGAATTTGTTTCCTCTAATTTCACAATTCACACTCATCTCAACTGTGAAGAGACGCATACTGTGAGTTTGTAATTGTAATGTAGGTGGAATATTTTAGTTATAATTCCACTTCTCTGTGGTGCTTCTAAAAACAAATTTGATTGCCACTGAACATTTGGTAATGCTATAAATGATGACCTTCCTGATTGCCATTGCAGATGATAATAAGAAGCTAAATGCAACTTACATAATCAGTGTTGCTCGCAAACTTGGGTGCTCAGTTTTTTTATTGCCCGAGGACATAATGGAGGTAAGACATCAAAACTACAAAAGCTGACAAGGAGAACTAATTTAAGCCCTTTGATCTGTTCTCACATTTCCATCAAAGCAAACTCAACTAATTGAAGCCCTCTGTCATTATTTTCTTTACACTTCATTATCTTCTATCCTGTTAAATGGAAGCTAGCTTCCTCAATGAAGAATGACAATATATTTGGATATTAACAGCATGAATATTATAACCCCCACCCACCTTGTGCTCTTGATCATGAAGCTTTTGGCCCTGTTTGGTAAATGGCTGCTAGCTGTTAGCTGATTGGGTCAATTAGAGAGCATAACTAGTTGATAACATTAGCTGATTGTAGAAAAAGTGTTTGGTAAATTAGCTGATAGCTGATAGCTGTTTGGTATAATTTCTTTTTTCAAAAAACTAATTGAAAAAGTTGCTTTGAGTAACTTTTTGAATTTTAGCATTTTGGAGTACAAAAAGCTAATTAACCAAACACTTATATTAATTTTTAAACCAAGTCAAACAACTAATAGTGGTCAAATAAGTCAAAATTGGCTTATAGACTAACTATTTTAACAAACAGGGCCTTTGCCTTTTAAAACCTTGATTGCCTTATCACTTTAAACTGACTTCATTACATTCCATGTATTATCTTGCTCCCAACTGGGCACTACAGGTGAACCAGAAGATGATGCTCACTCTGACGGCAAGCATCATGTACTGGTGTTTGCAGAACAAAGGTGTTGAACCAGAGGATTTATCCCCGGCAAGCAGTAGTGCAAGCAGTACTGCAGGCGAAACTGTGGTGGCAGCTGAAATGTCCACCATGTCTGTAGAGGATGGCAATGATCAGCCTTCTGAGGCTGGAGATGAAAAATCAGGGTTGCAAGATCAAACCATCTGATGAGGTATTATATATATATAATATAGACAGAAGCATTAACTTTTAATCCGCTGATGTGGCGCGTTTGGATTCGTTGTTGGAAAGTGGCACTAACCTTTATAATGGACAAACATATTCACCAAGAAGAAGAATAACCAATGGACAGTGGCAGTAAAAGAAGGCATGTGAAAGATCATATATATATTCTATTATAACATATTGTAATTAGGCAAAATTTCTTATATAGTTTAAAAGGTGTTGAATCCTACAATGAAGCATGTACAGTCATATGCGCGGTAATCTTCATTTATATATAATTATGTATTGTAAATTATTTATTATCCGTCCAAATTATTTATAACTAAATGAGTTAAAAACTATTGTATTAACATTTCATAATATCAAACTTCTCGTTTTCTTTGGTTATCGGAATGGCTCAACAATGCAACGTGTTTCTAATTCAAGTTTAATTTTATACTAATTAATTCATTGTTAGCAGTTATAATTCATACGTTTACAAAATATATTAAAGTAATAATAATAATATTAAACAAAGCAATTTTAACCAATACAAAAAATTGGCTAATATAACTCTATCATCGTAAACTAATTTCGTGTAAATTTACCATAATGCATTTCAATTAAATTAAAACTAAAACGCTAAATTCAACTAATTAATTAATTAAATGCCTAGCATTATAAGCTCATGTATATAACTATATATATAGCCACACACATTAGTTTTTCAATGTGCAATCCACATAGGAAATCAATACTAAATCTTCTTCCCGCAATTACTACCTATTGAACCCGTGAACGAGCAATCAATACTAATTCTAAATAGTGTGACTCGACTCTACAAAACCCGTCATGGTAATTGGCATTGATGGATAAATCTTGGTTCTAAAACTATCTTTGGTTCAAAACCAAACTCAACAAATGTCAAGACTTGTCATTAACCTACAAGCTAATTTACATTGTTGCCTCAAAAATCCAAAGAAAATAAAAAATAATAATTATAATATTGTACGTTATAATATACAATATCATTTTTAATGACAATAAAATACATAATTATTATTTAAATGTGTACACTGTACAATGTTACTAACTCTATTAGATTGTAATACTGAAGCTTGATCTCATGACCTTTCAAATGGGAGAAGTCACTACATGTCATCTAAGCACAAAATACTTGATCTAAATAAGCTTTATTTATGTGTACTATCTCACAAATTACACAAGAGAGTTGTGATATACAATACCATGTTTTGTTAAGAAGTAGGTAGCTAAAGGGTAGAATTGCAAATTACAAATTTGTAAAGCTCACCACCTATAAAATTCCCCTTATTATAAATTGGGTCATATTACTGAAACCGCTTTCACCTAGGGGGACAAGTGTTCAACGTAAAATTCCATTTTCATCTGAACCCTGGAAAGGCTTAAATTGAGATAACTGAAACCGCTTTCACCGCACAAAATCCCCCGCACCCGCGGAGGTTCAATCGCAAACAATACTGCCATCATCGATATCGATCAGATCCTTCATTCGATATTGATCCATAATCAAATAAACCAAAACATTATGTATAATCGAATTCCGATATACCGAAGTTTGCGTTTGCCGCAGCGGTTCAGGACCACGGGCTCCTCGATTCTAAGCTATTTGGCAGCTCCTCAGCTGAGAAGAAAAGCTCAGAATTCATGGTCTGCTGTTCAGGATACCTTCTATTCTACCAAGGTGCTGCTACTATAAATACTGATTTTAAATATGCATTCTTTTTCCCACACTGGAACAAGTTAGGCTTTGTTTTTTCCCGAATTTAAGTCAGGTAGTTTGCAGTGAAGGAATTCCTTAAAATGTTTCTGTTGATGTTATTGTTGCTTAGGACATATTTGAGAGGCACAGAGTGGTGTTTACGTTATCGACTTCGATCGCATCCGTTGCAACGGCGTGGGGTGGTATGTATATCACAGACTACCGATTTATTATGGTATTCTCCAAATTTGTTTCGAGATCATGAGTTGTCTCATCCTTGGTGAAAATTCTGCATCATTTTGAAATAGTTCTTGCCTTGGTCCTATTGGAGTATAAACATATCAGGATTTGTTATAGGTGAGAAGATAATCTAGTTTTCAAAAGGATAAGCGCCCTTATTGGTGCCACTGTAAATTTGTGATAACTAGGTCAAACTTTTTATGGAGCATAAATGAACTTCCTTTTGCCTTTTGCTAAGGTACATTTGATCTATCTATTAAATTGATATTAACAAGCCACACGTTCATCTTTTTTTTTTTTTTTTTTTTTTTGGAGAATCTTTATAGGTATTGTTTGGTTAAGTCAAGGTGGCAATCAAAAGATAGGATACTACAAATTACTATAGTCTTAGTTTGTCTCTTTGTTTTGTTGTACACCCTGCCTTCTGAATTGATAATGCATCTTACTCATTGTAGATTCATTTTATATTTTTTGTTTCTTTATCTCATCTCCTTTTGTGGTCAAGACCAAATAAATCTACAATTTGCTTGATAAAACTTGTGCTCTACTTCTATTGTATGCCATGCATGTGGGATAAAACAATTTGCCTAGCTCACTTTGTGTGTTTTATAAATATTATTTTGTATTATTTTATCCTGTTATTTTTTATTTTCTTTTGTCTTCTGGGTTGAGATACTGAAGATATTTTGAGCTTATGCACAGGTTATTTATTACGGCACCATCATGAATCAAGAGTTGACCAACGGCTTGAATCAATAGAAAAAGCTGTAAGTATCTGTAGCAGCCTGATAGTATCTGTTTGCTCTTGTGAAGCACCCAATTAAATATTGGCCTAAATAAATTATTCTGAAAATGGCTGTGCTAATGCTAGAATCCATGTAAACATGCTTGTGCATTGCCTGAATTAATAATCCATTGCCATGTATGCTTCCATTTCTAAACTTGAAGCTGAATATTGCTTAGATGAAAAAAGAACATGTCAAATTTAAAATACAGATTGAATTGAGGGAATACCAGTTCTAGTCGTTACTTCATTATTCTTGCTAGTGAACATATGGAAATTTTTTTTGGCTCCTTTCATTTTCTATATTTGTTTTGCTGGAAAGTGCAAGGCGTTTTATGCTTTGTCATCTCTTGTTTGTATGGAAGAACGGAGGAAACATTTGTTTTCGTAGTTGGAAGAGTACAGACAGCTATAGTAAACCAGTCAGAATCTCTTTTGGCAATGTTCACTGACATAGGTTTCATCCTACTTAAGTCTTAAATAGCCTCCCTATTGCTGCAGTCCTATCCAAGATGGAAGAAACAGAATAAAGCACAAGAAGGGCAAAATAAAAAAGAGTCTTTTCTTTCCATAAGGGCATCACTTTGCCTCACAATTGCATGCCATTTCCCACTATTTCTGATATTTAAAATTTGAAGGCATGCATCTTCCCCAAAAGATGATATAAAGGAAGAGATCTTTATAACTATTAAAAAAGAAAAGGCAGCATATCATGCTTAGTAGTGCTCCTTCATAATCTCAATGTCCTACGTTATTTTTAGGATGCTTCAAGAGAATACATTTTTGGTGAACTGTAAATTGATGTAGTCCTCTAAATAAGAGGAATTGACTGTGTTTATACACTCTGAATTATGTTATTTTTCTTGATAAGTACTGAAATATTGGGCTTTTTACATTATAAAATGTAACGTTATTTTATTTATTACAGATGAATAAGAAGTATGATGTTGAAGATCCTGAGTTTAAGAAGCTTGTTTCAGGTGGCATAAGCATGCCAGCTTGTGTTGCAACTGCTGGAACTACTTTGCTTATTGGGTTTGTGTATTTAGAATCCCACTATATGTTTTTTTTTTTTTACTTAATGGTTTACGTTTCATATTTAATGTGGTTCTGTTGTCCTTGTCATGTATATATACATATACCATCAAACAATACCAAAAAAAAAAAAAACTCATTAATAAGATCGAAATAGTTTTCTAATAATAAACATTCTCCCAATGATAAGCCCTAAAAGGGAAGGATAGGTGGTGAAGGAAAGGGGAAGATGTTAAATTGATAATAAAAAAGGATAAGAATAGGAAAAAGGCATTGTTGCTGAACCATATCACATTTCTATATTTTTCTTTAGGATTTGGATATCAAACTTGACTTGCATCTAGACTTACAATTTACTTTTATGCAATTTTTTTTAATTATGTTGAAATTGAATGCTAAAGCCCAGGTAGTTTTGGAACATAATTTCATTAGTTGATTTCAATGGTTTTAGTAGGAGGTATCTGCTCATCTCTATCCTGATGTATATATATATATTTGGATACAAAAATTCCCATAGTACACTATATATATGTCCAGTGAAAACCATTGTGGTCCACATGCTATACTTGTTTTTCATAATTTAATTCCTCACTTGTGTCTTAGCTATTGACCCGTTTACATTTGGCTTTTGTATATATTCTCTGTAATGAACTGGAAAAAACCTTTTATTTGTAGCTATGGCTTAGGTTGGCGAGGTGGAAAGTGGTATGCAAACAAAAAGTTCAAAAGGGAACAGATGAAACTGTTGGGACAAGTAAAACCTAGAAGGTGGCCTCTTAGATTACCGCTATCCATATCCAGGCTAAAGCTGCAAGGAAGTGCTGCTAAGGCTCCAGAGACATCAGCCTAGGCAGTATGCAGATCCAAAGATGGCGGTGGCTTTACCAAGATGCCATGCCACTTACTGGCCTAGTATAGTACTCAAGTAAATTCCCAATACTTATAAGATTTCTAACTTGACTATAGGCAACCATTGCAAAACATTCTTAGCTATTCTAACAACTGGAAATATTAGGTTGTGAAGCACAAAATATTTTTTCATATGGACCTAGATGCCAGTTAAGAGGAATGTAAATTGGTCTATTCATACATAGTTGCATACTTATTGTGAGGCCATTCTGCATATTTTACTGGTGTTGAGGGAAATGACCATTGGCAACTGATCTAGGAGCTTGACTAAACTAATATCAAGAAAGGGTGAATAGCCAAACTAGTAGCTCGGCTCTGTCTAAATATATCTAATGGTCATGATGACGTTAGAGATAATTGTGCTTAGAGGATTTTGCTTTGATGCTATATCGAAGAGGATCGCCGAAAGCATGAGGGGAAAGAGGACACATATAAGTTACCTTAGTATAAATATTATTTTTTGTAACCTGACAAAGGGAAAACAATTTGAATACATTTTCATTCTTAGCTTTGAGAGCTCCAAACTACTCAAGGCATTTTCTTCTTCAACATTACTATTCAACATTACTATTACATTGCTTTTCATTCTATCATGTAAAGCTTAAATAAATTCTACATGTGATTTCATGTTAGGAACCGGGTTACATT